TTAATGTTGCTCATTCCTCAGTCTGTTTATCCCCCAGTAAATCCTATATAAACCTCTCTTAATATTGTGTTCGGGTAATTTCCTGTATGTGAGAGCTGGTCTCTGTCTACAGATTCCTTTGCCAAGTTTTGTCCCTTTTTGTTACTTCAGACACTTCAGTGTGTGTTTCTTGGCATTTGCTGGTCCTTCAAATTGGAAAGACAAGGAGATAAAACTCCACAAGTGTACCCTTAAGAAAGACACCGATCCAGCCCTGATTCCCAGCAGAGTCAACCACGTAATATTGAGGCCTTTACTGGTTTTAAAAGAAAATTCCTTTAGTAATTAAAAGCCAAGTGCACTGAGGGTGTTCTCTAGGACCAACCAGTCAGGTTCTTTCTATGGCATGACCATAGGAGCTTCCTCACCTTTTGCGGCTGTCATGGGCTTGCAAGGCTCACTCCCCAGTACCAGCTTCAGAGGTGAAAGTTAAGTTCCGAAGTAAGTGAAAAGCGGAAGTTGGAAGGTGAAAGTATTTCTATTTTCTCTTGACACGAAGGCTCTGCCTGTAGCCATGTCAGTGCCAAAGCTTCGAAATAAATCTTAGGCTCTGAATATATTCTTCATGTTAAGCCTGTGCATTGTGTTGGCTTGTATTCAGGAGCTGAGCATCACCTTACCTGTTTTCACATTTGCCAGCTGCATTGCAGGCTCTCACATTGGTGCTGCTAACAGGCTAACATAATTTCTTGCCCGTCAAGTCCATTGTCCTCCAGAGAGCACAACCACCTTGAGGCAGTGTCTCGTTCAGGAACCCTTTCTTCCCCACCCCTCCCCACCCCATCTTAAGTCTTCTACCCACCATACAGGCTCAGATTCTGATTCCTCCTACTCCTTGCATGAGGAAGTGGAGCATTGCAGGGTTCTTGGACTCAAATGCTTGTGCTTTTGTAATACTTGAGCTCATGTCAGCCTCCTTTGTGCGTGCATTAGGGACTCTAGTGGTAGGACAAGGGTTAATGGTTTCAAACCTAAGTGGGAAGTTTAGATTAAAGGAAGAAGTTGTTTACAATGAGGGTGGCGAGGCACTGGAATAGGTTGCCCAAGGAAGTTGTGAATGCTCCAACACTGGTGGTGTTCAAGGTCACGTTGGACAGATCCTTGGGCGACATGGTTTAGCGTGAGGTGTCCCTGCCCATGGCAGGGGGCTTGGAACTAGATGATCTTAAGGTCCCTTCCAACTTAAACCATTCTATGATTCTATAAGCCTCCAACCTCTGGAGCCAAAGCAGACCTCTGGATTCCTTGTTTCAGAAGGATTCTTCCTGTTCCGATAGGACTGGGCTGTTCACATCATTCCTGTTCACAGTAACTGGTGGAACCAGGGAAACCACCGTCCATGTGGAGACTATCAGAGCGAGTTGCAAGAAATGTAAACTGGTTCTTTGTCACTTTCACAGGGAAGCTCTGGTAGTCAGCCTGGTTTACTAAGTGACTGCACTTAGAAGCCCCTCCTTCGTTGCTGTCATTGCAGTTTTGTGGCAGAACAGTGCTTCCTGGGTTGTTCAAAGCTGGTTCAACACCTATTAGAGCATTTCTGTCGATGACACTGCAAATACTTAATTCCAGTAGAAGTGTGGCTAATTAAAAGTGTTACTCAAGATTTACAGTTCATGCGTATATACGCTTTCTGCTCACTATCCCTTCTCTGAAGGGGACCCTAAAGATCACACTTCAAGCCTCTGATTGAAGGGGAATTGAAGAGGTTTGAGGGTGTTTCACCTTGTGTGAGTGAAGGTGGGATGCAGCCTTGCTCTCTGCAGATACCAAAAGGGCTGGGGTTTTTTTAAAGCTTTAATTGATAGACTGGATGTGCCCATAATGTAAATACACATGTGGGTAACAAGTTAAAAATCTCTTGTCACTAGTGAATAACAATTGCTTTTTTTAGTCCTTTGTGGCACTGAGGTCTTAATCTCACTACAGTCCATTGTTGAGTACAGACCTGGCTTAAAGAGCTAAAGGGCATTTTTAAAATGCAACGTTTGTCCTAACACAAGGATTCCAGCAAGTGGTAATCTTCTGTTGGGGAGAAGGAATGAACATGGAGATAAAGATGAAGAATGAGATATTTGTGCATCTGTGCTGCCCAGAAGCATGGGAAGTTTTGCCTCTTGGAACAGAGAGAGAGGGTAGAACCGTGTTCCTATATGAATATATAGTTTCCATAATTTTAAAGGGGATTACCTGTTTTGCACTATAAAAATGTTGTATTACTCTGTTTCTAGAAAACCGTTAATGAAGCTACCATCTCTGTCAGAGGAGGTTTTAGCAGATTTTGAACACGCGATGGGTGTTTTTTCTGTATATGGTGGATGGAGCTCAGCAAGGTAGCAAGAGAAGCAGAATTCTCTCTTTTACCTTGTGTGTCTGACCATTGAAGCATATATTGTAATTGTGGGATCAGAAGTGTCTGAATTTCCTACTTCATCACAAAAATTGTGAGTTGTTTAGGTATGGCAACATGCAGCCTCCCCCTTGTTCTGGAGTGGAAAGATTTCTGTGGTTGACAGGATTTAGGCACCTTTGGTATGACTGCAGTGCACTTGCATATCTTCAGTTTTGAACTGGTCCTGCAGACCGCTCACTGTTCTTAAAAGAGAAACCAGCAGAGATCAACCTCCTCCAGCAGTGAGCAGCCCTGAAAGTAAGATAGGTGGTGGGAAGATCATTCATTGTATTTGAAGGTTTAGGACTTCACAAGGTTGAAATAGTGACCAACATAACTCTACAGAGCTTAGGCAATATTCGGAGTTCCTTTTTTGTGCCTACCTGCAGACACAGTCATCTGGACTGAGACTCCTGGTTCTTCCAGCTACTGATACTCCATGATTCTGCTCTTTTCTTACTCAGTCTTCAAGAAGTGCATTTGGGTCAGGGCATCTGTGCTGATACAGCTGTGGTCATATCTGTTAATTGGGAGGGTAGTAACAAAAGGAAGACTTTGGCTTGGGAAACAGTGCTTTGACTGGGATGAAAGCATCGCTTCCAACAAGATTTTCTTTGGCATGGTCTCTGTATTTTTTTGCAGATTGGCTGAACTAATTGTTTCCTATTTGTGACCCAAGAATTGTTTTAGCAAAACCTGTCTGCTCTTGTGGATTTGTTCACAGAAGAAATGAAAGAACTAATTTCAGTTGCGTGCACTGGGAGCATAAGTGGATGCGTTTCCTTCACCCTGCTGTTTTGTAGGCTGGAATTTTTGGGGGAGTCCTTCTTAAAGGTCAAAAATAGAGTGGGTTACAAATGGTGTATTCTGTTGTTTTAGAATGATTTTCCTTAAATGTAGTAAGCAGGCTTTGGTCAGTAGTTCTTTAGACAGCACTGAGCTTATTTCCCCAGTATAATCCTGTTCTTCCTATATTCTATTTATAAATGTTTTTAATGGCTGATTTTCCTTAGGTAGCTTGGAAGTTGGTGAGCTTTTCTGTGGTAACATGTTTTTACAGTGCATAATCAAAGCGATTCTTGGGACATTTTGATGTTTATCCATGAGATTAATTCAGGCTGCAAATCACAGGGATTTAAACACTTCTGCGGTCCCATATCTGCTCCTGCTAGTGGAGTCATTGCAGGTTTTGAATGTGTTTAATTTTGAAAATCAGGTTTCTACATTTGTTGTTCTTCCAAGGTCCAGGAAGGTAGTAGAAAAGCTCTAAATCTGTGCTGAAGAAATGACATGTTAAGGAAGCTATTTCTCTTCTGCAGTGATATAAGCTATGTCTTAGACTGAAGTTCTCTGTGGGTATGCGGGCTCTGTCAGTCAGTGCTTGAGCACTGGTACAGAAGCCTGTCCATGAAGAACAAATGCTGGAAATAAAACAGTGGATTTTACAAGCTGGTACAACCTAGTGTCACCCTGTAGTTAAGTTAACTGTAGCTCACTTCAGCAGACATAATGCAGTCTAGATTTAGGTGGCCAGAAAACTGTACATCTTACATCTTGGAAATTTTCTCTATGAAAGGAATATCAGCACTCACTTGTGAGAAGAAGGGCTAATTCAGGCTTGGAAAGTCAGTTCTGCCTTTTACTGTAGCATGTAGAGACAGTCATATAATTTTGACTGTCTTCTCCCATTGGACTCCTCTTTCTGTTGGGGACAAGAAACTAGGATTGAAGTGTATAAAATCTGTAATATGAAGATGTACTAAACGGACATGAATTTCATCTGCAAATGTGACAAGAACTCATTCCTGTTGGAATTATGATCAGTCTAATAAACTGAAAATTTTGGATGGCTTGTTACTTAAACTATTACAGAATCATAGAATTATCTTGGTTGGAAAAGACCTTTTAAGATCATCAAGTCCAACCTTTACCCTAGGACTGTGAAGTCCACCACTAAACCATGTCACTTAAGGGCCTTGTGTACACGGTTTTTGAATACTTCCAGGGACGGTGATTCCACCACTGCCCTGGGCAGCCTGTTCCGATGCCTGACTACCTTTTCAGTGAAGAAATTTTTCCTAATATCTAATCCAAACCTCCTCTGGCACAGCGTGAGGTGGTTTCCTCTTTTCCCATTGCTTGTTACTTGGGAGAAGAGACCAATCCTCACCTCACTACAATCCCCTGTCGGGTAGCTATAGAGAGCAATAAAGTACCCCCTGAGCCATCTGTTCTTCAGACTTATCAACCCCAGTTCCCTCAGCTGCTCCTTATCAGACTTGTGCTCCAGACCCTTCACCAGCTTCATTGCCCTTTTCTGAACCCGCTCCAGCAACTCAGTATCTCTCTTGTAGTGAATGTCTTGACAGACAAACTTCTCAATACATTTTTACTGTTCCAGAGTTAGAATAGAAATGTTTGAGAATGCTCCAGAGACTAGCATAATATTCCTTGTAGTCAGTCATAGCAGAATGCTTGGCAAATAGCTTTGCGGTACTGAAATAATTACTATATGAGAGTAATATCAGAATTGAGACTTGCAAACATGATGCTGAACTATGTATTCTCTCAGTCACAGATGCAAACCCAAGTACAACAAGTGGGCATCGTACCGACGCAGGCAATGGCAACTGGACCAACAGCAGATCCGGAGAAGCGCAAGCTGATCCAGCAGCAGTTGGTTCTGCTGCTTCATGCTCACAAATGTCAGCGGCGTGAGCAGGCCAACGGGGAGGTGCGGGCATGTGCTCTCCCGCACTGTCGAACCATGAAAAACGTCCTCAACCACATGACACACTGTCAAGCTGGGAAGGCCTGTCAAGGTAAGAGATGCTGCTGAGGCTGCTCTTGTAAATGAGCTGTGTAAGGTTTCTTGCGTGTTTGTCAGCAGTGTTTCTTGTCTTGTCAAGAAGATCCCTATACAAGGCACAAATGAGTGCCAGAACTGGTTCTTTAATTAAACAACTGCTCCCTTTTTCATTACCTTCACGTGGTTTCCCTTTCTGATCTCTCCACAGTTGTCAGTTTAGAAAACAAAATGCAATGTTTGCCCTTTGGAAGCCTTGCAAGAGACTTTTTCATCTCTTCTATATAAATAGGGTGTAACATCAACCATGTCTTTGTCTTAGATTTTAGTACTAGTTTCTTCATTTGTTTGGTACATACAGAAAAACTTTAGTTACATTTAACTGTGGGTGCTTGTAAAAGAGAAATAATGGAGTTGCTCTAAAAATGAGATGAGTTAATTCAAAACCACTTAACCAGAGAGTGTCCTTAATTCTATTGCTTTTCCTTGTTACAGTTGCTCATTGTGCATCTTCGAGACAAATCATCTCCCACTGGAAGAATTGTACTCGGCATGACTGTCCTGTGTGCCTGCCTTTGAAAAATGCCAGTGACAAAAGAAATCAACAACGTAAGTAGTTGTTTTACTGCTCTCACAGAGGACTAGTACTGCTGAAGTTGATCAAACGTGCAGTGTAGGAATAGACTTTGACAGTGTCCCAACAAACTTCATTCTGTTTAATAATCTTAAATGAGGATGGATATGCTAGTGAATTCCCCTTCCTGATCATTGAATGCAATTTATTGCTTAAATACACAATAACTGAAAAGGGAGAGTGTCAGATATGCACACATTTTTTTTAAAGAAGGGTGGTGTCTTCTAACTGGTGAGGCAGATCAATAGATTCCAGTTACAGTGCAGCTTTGGATGTAGGTAGGGTTTTGCGGAAGGAGCTACTTCATTACTTTTCTTTCAGCTAGAAACAAATCAACATGCTAGTGATTAAGAATAATCACATGTTTATAAAAATAGACAAAAAATATTCTTGTGCACAGAAAGATCTGGTCTGGCTGTCTTAATCATTAAGTTTATTTAATGCTGGCTGAAGTTCTGCAGATCATAGTGGTTTTGCCCATGCCTATTTTTTTGTATAATAGTGTAGCTGTCACTGATGTTTGGGGTAGTAAATTTCCAGTGCATTTCGTCCCTCTTGCTCTGAAACAGAAAATACTGAACTGCTGTTGGTAGATTTGCTTCTCATCAAACCCTTTGAAAAGATAGAACGTCTACCAGGGTAGAATGTTTGACAGTATAGATGCAGCAGTTCTAAAAGTCTAAGTGATGTTATGCCTAATTATATTTAAGACTTAAGAAGTGGAAAACAGCTGGAGGACTTGTAAAGGTTGTACATTGTAATTGTGTTGGAAGCTTTCTGCTAATTTCCCTTAGGCTGAGACTGCGGTGAGGAACATTAATAAACCTTGGAAGATGGAGAAGAACTCCTAGGTTAGGTGAAATTAATGCAGGGGAAAGAGCAGCTGATAAGACTGTCATAATTATTCATTGAACATCCTCTTACGGCTTCAGGAGTAGGTTTTTCCCCTCCGAAACTGAGAAAAACCCCCAAACTATAAATACAGAGCTACTTGGAAGTAAGGATTTTGTTTTTGTTTTGCCAAATTTCTCCTTGGTAAACAAGATATGTCTTGTGTGTTGAAAGTAGTTGTTTGTTGCAAGTGATTAGTTATGTTTGGCCTTCAAAAAATGTGTTGAAAGCTTTGCTTTTTAATATGACATGGTCCATTTGTGCGTAACATCCTTATTACACAGTTGTTATCAAAGTGCTAACAACATCTAGCACAACAGAATGGGGTTTTTTTCAATACAAGCTGCTGTAGAAAAGTAGTTTGTGCAGTATTTGATTTTGTCATTAATACAACTTACCAAAAGAGAAGACACTTGAACAAAAATTAAAAATAATTTTGTTATGGGGTCAAATAGGATGTTGTTTGAATGCAACAGAATTATAACGGGTAGATGTAGAGTTTGGCTGTCTTGTTGCATGCGGAGAGATAAATGTGAAATCTCCTCCATTCAATTAATTAATAATCCAATGGTAGTAAACAGGAAAATTTGCAGTTTAGTATGCTGAGGTGCAAAGTTCTTTGGCTCAGACATAATGCAGAACACACACATAACACCTCATGGTTTGTTTGAAGGTCAAAGATGAATACTGAAAATACTTGTTTAGATTATAAAGGATGCCCCTTTTTAGGCATTTAGAAATGTTTTACATTAATATATGCACTTTAAAACACTGCCTGATGAGGTGACAACTAACCTAAGCCAGACTAGTTTAAGACTTGAAGAAAATGTTGGCTCTCGTAGGAGTAGATAATCATAGCATCTACTAAGATGGGGGGGAGGAAGAGGTCTGCATGTAGCAGAATATGATGGGAACATTCACAAAGGGAAAAAAAAATCTGAGAAGTCTAGCAGCCCTTGTTACTTTTGTCAGGCTGTCTTCCTTACAGCATGAATGACCTGCCTGATGGTCGTTAAAGACTGAGTCCTAAAATATTCCTGCCTGTGCTCATGCCTGTTCTACCACGGCTGTTTTGAGTCTGTTGTACCTGGCCTGGGCTTTCAAGCAGTTCCTTCAAAGTGTGTCAATCCTTCAGAAAGTTCTGCACTTCAGCACTTCTGAGCCATTGAAGTTTGGTGATTTCTTCCACCCTTCCCACGTGCGCTGGTTCCCGTGCTGTTTGTGGCTATCTGTTCCTGCCCCTTGGGGGCTTGCATGCTGCACAAAGTCCTGGGATTTAGGTTATTACCATGGAGCTGTTTCTTCACAGGTATTATACCCCATGTTTTGGTGTTTAGGTACTTTGCAAGGAACATCTGTGCCAAGTTTCATATGTATAGCTTTTGTTTTTATATAGGTAATATTGAACTGTCTTTTATTGTAATTGTTGATAGTAACATGGCTTGTTAATAGGATGTTTTGGGATAAGTTTGAAATTTTTTCTGTTCCACGTGGTTCTTACTGTGTATACCATGTATACCTCTGGTGAGGAAGTAGGGGGTAGAAACCAAACGTGATTTTGCGCATGCTAAAACATGATAAGCTTTCCTTTTGAATAGGCCAGTGACTCTTGTGTTTTGAAGTAATGACTTGAAATTTGGTTGAAATATTTTGGGGTGTGGGAGGGTTGCTTTTGTTAGGAAGTACTTCTTGCTTTGTGCTGAGGCCACCACAGTTTGATTTATAAGCTCTTGAAAATAGCTGTTGATACATTTCCTAGTTTTATGGCTCTAACATAACAGTTATTTCTCTGAAGATTCATCTTGTCTTGCACATGCTTGAGCTTCTTAATTCTTCTGTTCCTGACTTGGGCAGGTCTATATTGTGCCACCAAACAGCTACTGAATGTGCTTCCCCTTGCAGCCCTGTGGGTGGTGATGCATGTGCTGTGCTCACCGTTTGTTAGGACCTGGCCCATCCTCATGCACATGCTTCATTCCAGATTAGGGGACACTAGAAAATCTCTAGGAACCCTGCTCAGTTGAGCGAGACTGGAAGGTGGACTTGTGAACATGGCAGTTAATCTCCCCTGTATTTTACCTTGTATGTAAATTTTAAATAAGACACAGTGAAGAAAAAAGCTGGATTGAAAGAGTAAATTTGAGATTACTAACTTTAATGTAAAAATGTGATTTTTTAAGAAGATGGGGCCAGAAATTCTGGAGCATGTGGATTTCAGGTTGGAGGGTGGGAATCTGATGAAGGAAGTGGAACTAGGGACTGGGAGCTAGCTGGCTGAGGGAGTAGGCTGAGTATGAGCAGGAAAAGAGTGAAGACCTGGATGTAGAGTATCTGGAAACTAACCCTTTGTAGGGAAGAACAGAGTATATTGGTGCATGGGGAGATGTGTTCAGAAAGATAGGCAGCTACTTCTTCACTAGAGCCTGTTTCCTTCAAAAACTGGAAATGAAACCCGGTTCGTTCAAGTCTTACTCTCAGGGACTGTGTATAAAATCTACAAACAGAATGTCTCATTTTTTTCAAGCACTGTAAATCATACATAATGATGACCTGCCAGCTATCAGTTACTCCACTGTGCCACATGGTTAGCCCGCAGATTAAGAAGTTCCATTCATTGGCTAATATGATGCTACACTGTGAAGGCTTTTAGTTTAATGCTTAATATAAATAAAACTTAAAATGGCATTGGGGGTGAAGTTTAATACCAACACTTTCTACCTTTAAGCTGCTCATAAAATTTTTAGTTACCTCATGATTTGATTTCATGATACAGCCTTTAATTAGATGGCGGTGTATACTTAACCTTCTGTATACCTGCGTAATTCAGGGTGCTGGACAGGCTTATGCTGAGGTGCGTCAAGGTCACCAGCAGAGTTTTTGCTTCAGCCACTTAGAGCTAGAATGGATGTAGCACCAGCAGAGTGAGGAGCTGCAGGACAGAGCATTTGAACCCTGCTGGGCAAGTCTCAATTACAGAATTGGGAAGTAAAATGAAAAATGTAAATCAAGACTTTTCAAAAATGAGTTAACATGTTGCTTTCACTGGGATGGTCAGGTTGGAGAAGTGCTGGGCATTCATACTTAAAATAGCATTAGGAATCTGTGTTTAAAGTAAATTCTGATCGGGTGGAGGGGTTCGCCTGTTGAAGACATGAATGGAGTTTCATTAAGGCAGCATTATCTACTTTGCACATTGAAATAGGAATCCTGTAGGTGAGATTTGTAACATTTAGGTTACATCCTAATGCATATGCCCAAGAGGGCCTAATCTAATCAGGGCTGTTCAGGAAGTTCTGGGGCTGCTTAATTTCTGCCTGTTTGAACTGTCACTCATAAGATACATGAACCCATTTGCCTTTATAAGGTGGAACATGTGAAGCTAGGTTGTCTTTAAAGCATTTAGAATGTGAACAGTCCTGTACAGAGCTGTCCTTGTACTTGTGGCTTCTTTCACAAGCTCATCAGTGTCTGAAGCATCAGTTAATAAAAATCACAGTAGACTTTGCTTCATGTAGTGGTGGCCTAATGTGATAACTCCTGTTTGTTTCAGTGCTGTTTATTTTAATTGACTTGATTTCCTATGGTATGTCTGCCACAGGAAGTACTGCATTTGCACTTGATCTGTCCAGTATGGAAATTTAATACTCTCTTCCTCCATCTTCTTGTTTGGCAGGTTGAGGTAATATCATACATTCATATAAAACTAGTGAACAAGCACATTTTAAAAAAAAGTTCAAAATCAGATCCCTGATATTGTGAAAATACTCCATACAATGTGCTATTAATTGACTTATGAAGTATAAAAAAGCTGAGACCAAATAGGCAGGGGCACTTAATTTCACATTATAAGTGTACTGCTGGCTGTAAGAATGTAGTCTATTCCCTAATAATAATACTCCAGTTGGAAGTGTTAAATCAACGTTTGTCTGTGTTTATCAGCTTTAGTGAGTTTGTCTGCTTGAATAGGTACAGGCACACATGTGGAACCTCTTGGAGATCACAGTCTTTTCAAACTGCAAGTCAGAATAGTGCTCTTCCCACCTTGTCCCCTTGTGATAACATTGTTGCTTTTAAAGTGTCATTGAGTAATTGTCAACTCTGCCGAATACCCAAACTGAGTTTTTATAAGTAGTCTTTTGTCTGTGACAGACTGATCTTAAGTAAACTTCTCTAGAGTTGGCTGGATGGTGGTTCCTAAAGCTGCTCTAGCACAGGGGCTGAATTTGTGCTTCATAGCAACAGATACCAGCCAAAGCTGAGGTGGCTGGCTTCTCCAGGGTCCTTCGCTTCACTGTGAGCTTGAAGCCAAGCTTGCAGTCTTCAGGAGATCAGTGTCAGCTTTTTTCCCCAGAAGAGCATGAGAAGTGGTGAAATGCTTGGCTGTCCTCAGTGGAGTGTCTGGAAGCCTTTTTTCCTGTTCCCAGCCTTTGGCACCACCTGTGGTCATTCTGCCACCTCCAGAGATGTCCTGATTTACAGCTGGCGCTGAGAGCGTACGAGGGTGTTGTAACTTTTCTGGAGAAATGTCATCCTCTAACAAGCTGCAATTTTTATTAGCTCGTGAATCGATCCTTTGCTGTCACAACAGCCTCTGAAGCCTTTTGAATTCCAGGGTGCTACAAGTTTTGTGCTATTTAACCTTCCTAGAGACTGCCTATTTCTTGGCTTCTGCTAGTGTAAAGGCATCTTTCTTGTAGAGATTCCAGAGTGCTATGTGCAGGACCAACAAGAAATTCATACTGTAGATCTTTAATTTGTTGGTTTTGGGGTGTGTGTGTGTTTGTTTTAATGAAACCTGATAGGATTTCAGTCAGCTTCTGTCTTTGTTTTTAAACTTGCTTGGAAATGATCAGTGAGTTCAGAAGTCAGTATGAATGTGTCCATAAAGTGTAAGCATATGTAAGTCTAATTTCCATGGTAAACCCAGTGTTGAAAATACTGTGGATTGTCCTTGGGGATATAAAGGATGTTTTTTCTGTGCGGCTGCTTATTCTGGAGAGGGGGATCTCTGACTGTGTTTATTTGTAGTTCTTTGGCAAATCAAATTGAACTCTCATCTGGAGAGGGAAAAATCTGCACTCTGTAATGCATGTATTTTCTGTTGGATGGAAGCTGAAAGCGTGTGTTTCTTTTTCAGTGATTCTCCCTGTCTCTCTAGTGGATAAGGATTTAAGAAAGCTTAGATAATGCTGTTAATGTCTCAGAAGGCCTGTTTTCCTGATTTTTTTTTTCTAAACATGTGCCTCCTAATATTTTGATAAAACATGTTGCCTATATTAAAAGCAGTTATTGTTGGTGGTTTTAGCTCACAAATTTGTAATGCACATTACATATTTAATTACTTGAGGGGAAAAATGTGAAGTACGTATTATTTCTACCAGAGTCTTGGTTATCAAAATGCAGTGTCCCTGTAGTGAAGGATATACTCCATGTAGAGTCATTCACAGTGGAACATGTTATTACTAGAATGCCAGTTAAAATGAGGACCCGAAAGCAGATTTTTACTCACTTCTGGGTTTAGTAAAAACTACTTTTCCCTGTTGTTTACATTTCCTGTCTACCACACAGATGTATGGAAATAACTCTTCCATACATCTGTGTGGTGAGAGAGGTTGGTTGGTTGTGGTGGTCATATAGGTTTATGAGTACCTAAATATTATCTAAATTGTTTACCAGAACCAGTAGCAGGCTCATCCTCTTTCTGACTCTTCAGATTATTTTAGATTTTGTCAATACAATCTGAAATCTATATGGGCTTTTCAAATCTCTGAATAACTTGGGGTTTAGAGTAATTTGGCCTTCAGAGGATTCACCTAGTGACTGCTTGGAATGAAAATTTCTACCAACAGATCTTCAGTATTACCTTTGTGTCCAAGGACACAGTATTTCTGCTGAATTCAGGATCTCTGTTCTGGAGCCAAATATTTTGACCTAAAATAGGATTGATGGGAAAGAGAGAAGTAGAGGAATTAATATTCCTTTCTATTTTTTTATTTTATTTTTTTTACTCCTTTTAATCTACTGTCCCAAGCATGAAAATCTATTTAGCCTTATATTGGAGCCTATATTTTATGTATGTTACAGTAATTATGGGCCTACCTGCCCAGAATTTACAGCATTTTGCTTTAGACTGCATGTATTAATTGCTAGGGTGGTTTCTGTCCTTGTAGAATCAACGGCTGAGTTTCCCCACTTGGCATCTCTGGTGTCATTCTGTCCCTTGGCAGAAAATACATATGATATAACTGTATGCATGTTCTGCTGATTCTTGGCATGATTTGTTAAATTGTTTGTCCTCATTGATTTTCAATTTTCTCTTATCCCTTATTTTTTTATAGCCCTTTTAGGGTCTCCAGCTGGTGGAATCCAAAATTCCATCGGTTCTGTTGGCACAGGCCAGCAGAATACTCCATCGCTAAGTAATCCTAATCCAATTGACCCCAGCTCCATGCAACGAGCCTATGCTGCTCTTGGACTGCCATACGGCAACCAGCCTCAAACACAGTTGCAACCCCAGGTACAAGGCCAACAGCCGGCACAGCCTCAGGCTCACCAGCAAATGAGGACCATTAATGCATTGGGTAGGTGGAGAAAATACCAGAAAACTAAGATGTTAAAATAAACAGAACTGTTGAATTTTTAGCAAAGTCATTATACTATTTAGAAGCACTAACATTCATTTATGTTTGAATTTTAGAAAGCTTCTGCCAAATAGAAGTAGTTTTGGTTTCTTTTAAAATATAGTCCATAGCATGTTGTTGTCTGAGGTGATGAGGCAGAATTGCAGAAGGACTCTGGTTTAACAAGTATTTCACCTGTTTAGCAGACAGTTCTGTCTCAGAAGCTAATTTTTTTCTGGAACTTAATTGTTAGTCTTATCTTCTTTTTATCTTACTGAATTAATCTTAAGAGGTTATGAATTTTAAATGTGAATAGACTAGTTTTTGTGGGAAAGAAAATGTTCAGACTGAAACTAACGTGATTGCACAAGTAGCTACGTATATGCACCACAGGAGATACTATCATAAAGTGCTTATCTGATATGCTTTTTATTTCATTAACGACTTGGGTCAGTAAAGTGTAGTTTTGCTGTGTTATTGTCACAAATTGTGAACTGGGTACCAATGATGTTTAATTTTGTTCCAAAGGAGCCAACCAGATGAACCTTCCTGCAGGAGGAATAACAACAGACCAGCAAGCTAGTCTAATTTCTGAAACTGCGCTTCCAACATCCCTTGGGACAAATAAGTAATGCACACGTTTTCATTCTTGTTCAATTAAACATTTATTTACATGATTATGAATGTAAATAAAGAGCATGTTTTAAAAACTAATTGTATTGGCATGGAAATGATCAGTCACATATATAGCTATGCTCTTCTTTCCTACTTCAGTTCTGTATCTGCCACTTTGTCCCCCCAGAGAGTGTACAAACACCTTAACAGTCATGATTCTTTATCATTCATACTATGTCTTGTAAATTCCTGAGCTTTGCTGCTTTAGGTGTTGCAGTTTGTTGATACCAAAATTAGAGAATGTTTGATGCAATAGCTAGAAGTGATAAAAGCAATTACTCAAAAATTACTTCAGGCGTCAAACATACAACAAAACTCTGCATTCTTGTACTCTAACAGTCCCTTTTCTTCTTATATTAGCCCACTAATGAATGATGGCACAAATTCTGGCAATGTTGGAAACCTCAGCTCAATGCCAACGGCTGCACCTCCTTCTAGTACCGGGGTAAGGAAAGCATGGCATGAACATGTCACTCAGGACCTGCGCAATCATTTAGTGCATAAACTGTAAGTATTCACCAAGACTCTTTTTCCTGAATGTTTTAGAGAATTTCAATACAGTAGTTCTACCATTAAGTTGAAAGGTTGTTGAGAAAGTTATCAGTGGTGGTTGTCTGACACTAGACTACTGAGGATGAGCTGTTACCTTTAACCCTCCTCTTCAGTTCATTCAGCTCATTAAGGAATGGGCATGAAATCAGTTCATGTTGCTAGTAAATTTGTTCTGCTGTAGTAAATAAGTATTTAAACTCTAGACTGTCAAATCTCCTATGTTTTTCATTATTGAATTTGCTTTTAATCTTGTGGGAAATAATACAATACTGATTTTTTTTTTTTTTATTTTTTTTTTAACCCAATTATTTTGCTATGATTTTATGTATCTGGTATATAAGGGAATATCATAAAGCTGTATTGAGGTTTTTTTTCTCTAAAGAATTTTTCTTCTATTCTTTCTCCTTTTATTTTAGTGTCCAAGCCATCTTCCCCACTCCTGATCCTGCAGCACTGAAAGATCGCCGCATGGAGAACTTGGTGGCTTATGCCAGGAAGGTGGAAGGAGATATGTATGAATCTGCTAATAGTAGGGTATGTTGCTGTTTGGTATATGTTAAAGAACAGTAGCATCACAAATCTCATAAGCATAATGAAAACCACAATCATTTCACTGTTCTCTTGACGATGAAAGTCATGTTTTCTGTCTGTGACAGTGTGTGTGTAGTCCCAAGCCATCTGATTAATGTCACTTCAAGTTAATTCATCTCCCTCAGCTCCATGAGAGCTAGACAACATCATCCCAGCCCTATTTGCATTCCTCCTGAAAGTGTGATTGATGTGCACAAAGACTGGAGCACAGCTTGCCGTTCTTGATGTTTCTCTTACTGACTTTCTCCTTTCTGGAAGTCTGTGTAAATAGTAGTTTTGAAACTTACTTAATGACTCTTTGCAACTGCAGTTTTTTTCTAGAACTCAGTCCTATTGTACTGTTTACCTTTACCCGTACTCTTGGAGTTATTTCTTCTCTACTCAGCAGCATTGAGAGTGATTTGGCTAGGACATATAGCTATTTCATGTCTCAACATAATAAGGAGTCATTTTGCCTGTGTTTGTCCTTGCGCATGGAAAACAAGACAGAATTCCTGTTCTGGTTCATGATTTTTGCTCTGTCTCCAAAGGGGTATCAGTTCAAATCTCTTACTACTCCGAGGGAGCAAACCCCTGTTTGACATGCTGAGGTTACTATTTCATTATGACACTGTGCTAAGTCTTCCCTAAAGGAATCACTTTCTGAAAGTTTTCATCTGATAGAGACAATGTTAGTAGTGACAGTCATCATAGCTGGTGAGATCTTAGCTGATCAGAATCTTGAGGTCCTTTCTTAAATAAGTTAAGAGTATCTAAAGAGAGCAGTTAGTGTCAGTTGGGTGATAATCATCCAGTAAGACAGTAGCACTTAGTCGGCTCCCTCAGACCATCTCCCAGAAGAGCTGAAGGTGGAACTGCAGTTTTATTTTCTAGATGTAGATAGTTAGTGGCCGTGGATGTAATGCTGCTGTTGTGTCAGTATTGGTCAGTGACAATATCATCTTCTTGTGGCTAGTAGGAGGTTGTTTAGCAAGGAAGACTCGAGTGTCATCACCCTTGATTACCCTGGCAGCTTTAGGAAACATATTCAGAGAGAACAAGAATTTCATAGACATACACAGGCATCTAAATATGTTCTCAATAAGGATGAGCATAGTAGACTTCTGTTTATAAAATTAAATGTCTTCTGACCTAGTGTGCTAGACAAACACCCAGATACATCTTCTCTTTACCCCTTAAAACTGCTGTGAGAACTTTATTGTTAGAAGTCTCTTTTATGGGAATTTATCTAAAGTATGTGGCTCCAAGCAGCAAACTTAGTAGAAGGGAGTAGTTTAGAATGTAATAGCAAGGCCACATGGAATTGCATCGTTCTCTTAGAGGAGCATCCATTCCACTTTGCATTGAAAAACAGATTAGCATGAGGCATCATTGTTAAGTAATTGTTTTACTACATACTACATTGTTTTAGTATGAAAACAATGTGTGAAAGTAGCACAACATTACATTCAGAAGTAGGAAGTTAGAGGTGAAGGGTCTTGAGCAGGAGGAGGGAAGGGACTGCAGTGCTTTTAAATTGGGCAGTCAACAATATCTGCACTGATGAATTTTTGAGACACTTGGAGGAGGGAAGTGACCTAAAACTAAAGTTCCGTTTTGCGGTTCTGGATTTCTTTAACAAGGTTGGTGAGAAATCCCTATCTCCTGTTAAGTTTTCTGAAATGAACTCAATCCTAGTGTAATAACAAAATCTAGTTTTGAGGAAAATTGGATGAAGACAAAAGGATTGTGGGACAGGCATCACTCAGCCTTTGTTCCATGTAACCCTGGGCTTTAAGAGCATAGATGATCCCACAAAAGAAACATAGTCTTGACGGTTTGAGGGGGTTTTATGCCTTTAACAGGTGCATAATCTCATGCACTTAGCAATTGCTGGACACACATCTGCCAACAAGCAAAATTATCTGTCTTGCTGTGCACTGTGACTGTCTTATTTGATCTGTTGTCAATGTGGATTGAGTAAAATGGATTTTTCATCTCATACCGATGTTGTGTTTAGTTGTCTGTGCCTGTGGACTATTTTTCACTGATTTCCTCCGTTCCTTTGGGATTTTATCTGGTTTTGTTTATTCCCTGCAATGACTGTCAGTAGTCAGACTCCTTAGGAAAAGAGTGATTCTTTTCTGTATGTAAAAATTGATCTGTCCTTAACACTTATCACCTGAAGTTTAGTTAGTGTAACTGTTGCTGGGAACATCTTTTTCTTTTGTCTGTGGATTAGTGGAAATATTTATTATGAATATAACATTTAAAAATAATTTAACACTTGGAAACTAAATCACAGCTTCCTGTTTCTCATCCAAATAACAGAGATTCTACAGTTTTCTTTGTTTAATAATCTACTCAGAATAGATGTGAAGGATAGCCATAAAGCCAGGTCTTATATATGGAAGACTTCTTTCTTCCTTTGCTGCATTAAAGCAGTGATGAGACTCTTTCAATTTACGAAATTCTGAAAATAAATACTTATTTTTCAAATAGGCAGGTGTAGACATCACAAAACCCAAACCAGGTGATGTTACTCTGGGAAACTACATGAGTTCTGATGCTGCTTTCTTACACTTGACACCAAGTACCATTTTTTTCCTCTCTTTTAGGATGAATACTATCATTTATTAGCAGAGAAAATCTATAAGATCCAGAAGGAGCTAGAAGAGAAACGGAGGTCTCGTCTCCACAAACAAGGGATGTTGGGGAATCAACCAGCCTTACAGAGTGCAGGCCCTCAGCCCCCTGGCATCCCGCAGGTGGCTGCTGCCATGGGTCAGGCACAGCCCGTGAGGCCGCCCAGTAAGTACTTCTGCAGGATGTACTTGTGCATCTCACCTGTAGCTCTGCAGAGTTTGTGTCCTTGGGCAGTCATGCTAATCCTCACGCATAGTTTAAATTGGAGTTTTTTTCTGACCATTCTTCTGTTGTGTTGCAGATGGGCCTATGTCCATGCCAACCGTGCCTATAAGTCGTATGCAGGTTTCTCAAGGTATCTATGTTTTCCTCTCTAAATGCAATTATGGGTTCAAAATAATTGTTAGGGTGAAAAACTGATCTTCTGTTTTAATTTTGGAGTTGGGGTGGGGAGAGCTGCCGGCTCTCCCTTTTTTTTTCCAGCATCATTCTTTATTGTTGTTCTGTGGCAGGAACTGTCTTGGTGTGGTCTTGTCTTAAGAACTGGCAATATGTACCCAAAACTTCGCTAGCAATTGGGAAGTAATTTCAGAAGTAGAGAGAGCACAGGCAAGAATACTGTGGATAATCTCATTTAAAACACTCTAAAAGGGTGGGGGGAAAGAAATGTTGGCATGTTTTACCAGTTAAGTAGCCAAAAATACACCTGTAGCTGGAAACTTAGAACATTAATCGTAGAGCCTGTACAACTAACTATGTCCTTCCCTGGTTTCTGATGGACAGTGCATCTAAAAGAGCCTTTTAGTTTATAGTGCCGATGGCTTGCCATCACTCATTTAGCCTGTTCTGGGCTCCTGGGCAGGGTTATTTTTTCTTAAAAATAAAACCCTTTGATTTTGGGTGCTTCAGTTTCCTCCAGTTATTTTATTTCTTGGATCAGAATTAGTGTAAGTTGAAAACTGTGTTGAAATGTCCTTGAAGTTACATCCTTTTAAAATGCATTTCAGTAGGAGAAAAAGTTGATAGCATGTGTAACTCAATTACTTATTTACACATTTATTCCTGATAGACAAGTTCGGGGGTTTTTTTGTGGGGGTTAAATGTTTTGTATAAAAAGCCAAGACCTGTTAAGCATATTGCTAGCTTCTGTCCTGAGTTGAGGCTAGGAGTTGCCTTCATATAACAATATGTGTTTTTGTCATATTTACTTCAACCATTTGGCGAGCCCTGGCTAAGACATTGCTGTTTCAAAGCAAATGCCTAATTTTAAGAAACCGTCCCAAGGTATCATTTACGCATAGCATCCTGTCTTTGCAGATCTTCATCTTCTGCATTTTAATTTTTTTTTTAGACACTAGAAGTTCTATTTCACCTTAACTGGTATTGCTCTAGATACCTCTTGCATCCTGATGTGTCTCTTAAGCCAAGTAATTTGAACAAAATTAAAAGAAAAAGGGAAGTGTAGGGCAGTCAAACTTCAGTCATGATAAATGTCAACTTTATAGTAGAGTATACATACATAAATTCTGATGACTTGTTCCTAATGAGTTGTTTTGGGGGTGCATTTGCAGGAATGAATCAGTTTAACCCCATGTCCATAGGGAATGTACAGATGCCACAAGCACCCATGGGACCCCGTGCAGCTTCTCCAATGAACCACCCTGTACAAATGAACAACATGGGCGCTGTTCCTGCGGTTCGTATTTCTTATTACCAAGTTCTTCTCAAAATTGATTACATTTAGCAGTGTTAATGCTGTTCTGAAAAGGCCATGTCATAGAGTAGTACTGTAAATTGTAGGGTAATTTCATGGAAACATACAGAGTCTGTCAGGCTTTTATTGAGGCAAAACCACAAACAAAACAAAAACCAAAACAACATTAGAGAGGTAGATACCAGAGATTAAATAATCTCCTGACAGTCTGTGGAAGAGGATAGTTCTTTCAGAAACTGTGTGTTTGCATTATATATATGTTCGTTATTCCTCTATTAAAACATGTTTTTATTCTTTTCATTCTGGGTTATCTTCATTAGCTCAGAGAACAAAGCAGAGTTAACACTTAGTAGAGTTTTGAATAATACCTCTTTGAAAATAAATTCTTCATGAATACTGTGGGGAAAAATGCTAAAGTTAGATGTATATGCCCACTTCCATTTCGTTTACTGAAGCCAGTTTTCTTTTTATTTTTTTGTCCTATCTTTTGGTTGATTACATTGAGTGTATTTTCTTTGTTTTCCTACATAATACTAAATGGTAATATCTTTAATTTGGGTGTTACTTTTTAGATGGCAATGTCTCCTTCCCGAATGCCTCAGCCACAGAACATGATGGGAGCTCATTCCAACAACATGATGGGTCAGGCTCCTACCCAGAACCAGTTCCTGCCTCAGAATCAGTTTCCAGCATCCACTGGGGCTATGAATGTGAACAATGTGGGCATGGGTCAATCAACAGCCCAGGCTGGGGTGGCACAGGTGAGATGTAATTTCTAATACTTCAGTTACTCTTAATTACTTTATTCTAATTTATTTATGTCTGTCTGTTTATATATTCATTGTTTATTGTAGTCATCCCTGACTTTGGGGAATCCTGGGTTACACTTGCCTTTTTCATAAGCTCTTATATGACCTATCTTCATGTGCTAACTGGGGGCAATGACCTGTAATTCCCCATTTAAATTCTAAAAAAATGCATGCTGATGATATTCTTTTTTTTGGGGGTGGGGTGGGTGGGAAATACCAAAAGTTAGTTCATGGGATGTCTGTGAACATATGCTTTTGTCTTTGTGTGGACCTGAGTAGCTAGACTCTAAATCAAGATTGCAGTAAAGTGGTTGTTGAAGATCTTTTAAAGTTTGTTTCTACTTCTGAAGAGAAAATGGGGGGCTTTTGTAACATTTTTCTGTTAACAGCAGCAGTCAGTGAAGTAGCAGCTGTGCTTATGATGCTGAGGTGTATGCTTTTCCACAGGAGAGGCTTGCTTTTTGACTTTGAGTTCTAGTAATTTGGATTAGTTGGAACCTCCAGAGTTCTCTGGTCAGCCCCATCCTCAAATGAGAGAGAACTGAGATTATGGAAGGCTCCGTCAAGTCAAGTTTAGAATATGTTCAGGATAGAGCATCTACAATTTCTTGGGCCCTGGCTCACTTTTCTTGACCACTTTTGTGGTGAACATTTTTTTTCTAATGCACTTAGTCCAATAAAACTGACTATGTACAGACAATATAGAACTGTGTTTTAAATTTGAAAACTCATCTGTAGGAGCATTAATTGATTTGGATTCAAGTAAGAAGTACATCTAAGGATAAGAGTATTCTTTTTTTTTATCACTAGTTATCTGATGCAGTCTTTAGGAAAATGTATAGTTTAAAAGTCTGTGCACATCCAGAATACTTTACTGTTGCTGTTCTGAAAAACAAATGCAAGGTTTCCTTAAGCATCTGGAGTAGTCTGATTAGAATTTAAAAGAAAACAAAAAAAACCAACACCTCACCTTTTAAGTGTTACGCTGTGAATGGGGCAGGCATTAATAAGTTGAACTGTGTGTCTCCTAAAGCAGGGCTGCCCTAGAGACCTGGCCTAAAACATGTATGTGCTCAAAACCATTTGTATGCAAAACCTGACCTTTGCCCAGCTAATGGCGTGATTTAGAGGTTGTCTGCATGTGAGTTTCTGTGTTACTCTTAGATGGTGAGGATTCCCTCTCTATGCCAGTAGAATTAACATAAAAAGGTGTGCATGGCACATCTAGGTCTAGGAGCAGGGTCTTTGACTAAGAGCTGGTGAAAATGATTAGAGAAATCAGAGCATAGTCATTTGCAGTAGTAGCATTTGTTTATACCTGGTCTAAAGTTTAGATTTAGGGTATCGTGTTAAAGAAGGCTTCAGTGCTTTGTCAGAGTTTTTTGGAGTCACATGTCTGTAACACAGTCTCTCTTTCTAGCAGGGGCAGGTTCCCAGTGCTGCTCTTCCCAACTCCATGAACATGCTAGGACCGCAGAGTGGGCAGTTACCATGTCCACCAGTGACCCAGCCACCTCTACATCAGACTACACCTCCTGTGTCCACTGCTGCTGGGATGCCACCTATCCAGCACCAGACACCAACAGGAATGACTCCTCCTCAGCCAGCAGCACCCACTCAGCCATCGACACCGGTCTCATCTTCAGGACAGACACCAACCCCAACCCCGGGTTCTGTTCCAAACGCGACACAGACACAAAGCACACCTACAGGGCAGACCGCCGCACAGGCTCAAGTCACGCCACAACCTCAGACCCCAGTTCAACCCCAGTCTGTGCCAACCCCGCAGCCATCTCAGCAACAGCCAACATCTGTGCAGGCACAGCCTCCTGGCACTCCAGTAAGTACCAGCTAGTTGCATTTTTCGTGTCTAGTGACATTCCACAAGAGTTCACCCTACGTATAGCACCATGTCGTGAATGTGTAGAGCCTGTAGTTGTCAGTAGTACCTTCTATGTTAGACCAAAGGGTTCCTTGTAGATATGTGTAAAAATGTGTGTGTTCAGATGTTCTCAGTATTGTTTGAAGGAGGGGGGTGCCTTGAATGACTTTGAACTGCTCAAAGTAAAAATGGCAGCAGTGTGCAGAAAGATGAGGTATAACAGGCCTGATGTTATATTTGGCCTTAATTAGAATCGATCTTTTCTGATCTTGAGATTTGCATAGGGTTTTTTTTCTTCTAAGAATCAGTCAGGACGAATGCACGTTTCAAGGGATGTACAGTTTCTGGGCAGGTGTTTTCTCTGTAAAAGAAGCCACTTTGGGGCAGAATTCTTCCTTGGCTTCTCCTCTGTAAAGCAGAGTTATTAAATGTGGGATATCGAAACTTGGCTACAGTAAGTTCCTGTATCCATGTTCTGCACTGTTTTAGAATATCATCTCATGTCTCTTTTGTGCTGTTCATTTTTAGTAAAGGAAAATATTTCTATATATGCAGTGTCTTTCTTTTGTACTGTTTTTACAACAGCTATCCCAGGCAGCAGCTAGTATTGATAACAGGGTCCCCACCCCTGCCTCAGTTGCTAGTGCTGATACGAATTCCCAGCAACTAGGACCAGATGCACCAATGCTAGAAAGCAAATCAGAAGTTAAAACTGAAGAAACTGAGCCAGAGACTAGTGAGACACAAGTGGAAGCTAAGACTGAGGTAAATGAGATTCTATACAGCTTAACTGAAAGCAGTGATAGATATAAAAGCACTTAATAATGTGTCTGAATTGGTGAGCTAAGGGGTGAGAGGAGGGTAGTTACTGGAAAGTAACTGTCCTGAGGAAAGCCATGGATGGAGAGTGCTTCGACAATCTCAAACTAATATTTTGATGGCTGAAGTTTGGGTCATGGATTTAATAGTACATCTCATTGCATCCTTTCTTAAGGTGGAGGAGGATTTACAAGGATCTTCACAAATAAAAGAAGAAACAGATGGAACAGAACTGAAACAGGAGCCAATGGAAATAGAAGAGAAGAAGCCTGAAATAAAAGTAGATGTTAAAGAGGAAGAGGAGAGCAGCACTAATGGAACCACTTCACAATCCACATCACCATCTCAGCCCCGCAAAAAAAGTATGTGCATGAAAACTGAGGTTTTCTTGTGTATTTAGGTTTTACTGGCATTTGTTATCCACAGTCTCAGCTGCTGCTGGGACGTCTGTTTTGCACATGTGTTCCAGTATGTGGAGCTCTAGGAGATCACTACTCTAACTTGTTTTTGAAAGTAGGATTCCTGTAATGTTACATGTATCACAGGCGGGAAAAGCATGTCAGTGTGGTCTTGATCACAGCAGTCTTCTCACAAACTCCAGTTTCTGCTCAGAAGGACCAGGACAGTGATTACTGGAAAATTATGTACATAAATCTCTCCCTGTACATCTTGGCCAGTGTCTTTCAGGGGAGCTCAGCATAGATAAGGGTACTCTCAGTAACCAAGAATGCCCATTGCTATGCTTTTCCATTAGAGGATGCACACACCACCCTTATACTGAGTTTCAGCATTCACTTCTCTTGAGAATTTGGTGCTTGAACTCCACTCCTGAATCTGTATTCCTCCGAGGCTTGACTGCTGCAATAGACTGAAGCTTTTTTTAATGTCCTGTGTAATTTTCAGTGTAGCATTCATTTGAAAGCTTTCTTCTCAGAAGTGGTTAGGTCAGTAGTCTCCTCAGTTAATCTACAGTGTCAGCATAGGTTCAGGTGTGGGTGTCTGTATTGTGTATTTTTCCAAAAGGAAACTCGATGGCATTATAGATTTTGAATGGACTTATGTAAATGATTGCATGCCCTGGGTTAATAAGAAATAAATGAATAAGATTGTTAAAACAGGCAGAAATAAATTACTTGTCATGCAGGCTTTGTGGAAGCCTGCAAGGTAAGTTTTTGGATTCAAAAGCCGTAGCTGTTTAGAGACCTCTGTGTCTTGGCATCTGCTTTTTTGAGATGATGTTTTTTGTGGTTGGCTTTTAGGTTTTGACCAAAGTTAAGCTTTCAACATGTTGCAAATGTCAAAAAAAAGTGGTGATCCATTTAATTACCTTATTTTTTTTTTTTTCCTTCCTTCTTCCTTTGCAAAGGAAACTGCATATAACTACATTAGGAGAACATTACGTGTGCAAGCTTTCCAGAATGTGATCAAGGAATCATAAAGTTTGAAAGTTTATGCAGCTTGAGTCTTGATCTGCTGTATATGCTTTACGTTGCATTTAATTACTAAGCATAATCTTTTTATGACAAAGCACTATAAACCACATTTTTCTGTAGATGGTGTTTTCAGTTTGTAGCACAGTGGGCCAGCCAAATGAGAATATGCTGCAGAACTAACTGGCAGAGCCTGTTTCACACAAAATGTAACATAGGGAGTGGAAAGCTTATTAGCATTTATAAACCAATTATATTCCCAGTGGAAAGAATTGCTGTTGCTTGTTAGAAGGAATGTGCTTGCAAGCAAATTGAGGTGAGTGGTAGAAAGAGGAAGGTCCTTGCAAAATTAGTCCATTGAAGCTGTGCTGTGTCCTTCTGCTGATTCAGTCTAGGTTACTATGTATTTCCAGCACCTCATTTTGTAATGCAATTTTATCTTGGAAATAGTGTCACTAAGTAACTGTGTAGTATAATACATGTGCAGTGTGGGCAGGTACAACCATATACACAGCTTTAAATGGTGACATTTTCTCACAAGTAGTTTGTCCAACTTTAATAGAGCATTTGTATTAAAATGCTAAATAAGAGTTATTTGAGGGTAAATACTGTGAAGCATGCTTAAGAGTTACATGATATTTTTAAACTGATTATGAGACTTGTGGAGTTTTGCATGGGTTACAGAAGTGTTGGAAACTCTTCATTCCCATGGATCCAGACTCCTGAGACTTAACCACAGAAACTTGGAATGTAGCAGGTACACGCTGCAGCTATGAAGGGGAAGGCTTATGGTTGGAGGTGTCAGGGAGTACATGCCCTCAGATAGCTTAGCAAGTTATAGCCTGATATGTTAATGTTTGAAAAGGTTCACCTGGACCTCAGTGAATTGTTTTTCTGGGTACAGGTGGCTTACATTGTGGAGGTGGAATCTCATCTGTTTGTACCAGCCACCCAGGTGTACTGAGCTCCACTGGCTTGGCTGTGTTCACTTAATACAACTAGTTTGTTACCTGACTGAAGTGAAGGGGAATACTGTATGGGCTAGAAAACAGACCAACATAATACTGCTGAGATACTAGTGTGCTCAGTTCACTTAGACCTGAATTTTTGTAGTTGAGCTTTTTTTGAGAATTGCAGACATCCCTTCAGCAAGCTTTTCTTTCTCGTCAAGGATTTGCCTTCATAAATGCAGGCAATCAGACCCTTCTGAATTCAGGGTTTGGTTTGATTTTGCTTTTTTTCCTGCAAACCTTGTGTGAGCAAGAAAGGAAGAGGTTTGGTTCCTTGCCTATTCCCTTGCAAAAGAAACAGGATGATACCTATTTTAGTAGCTCCTGTCTCCTTGTCATAGGCATCTGCCTTAGTCTAACCTCCCAAGATTTAGTTTACTGGTTTTTTTCCCTTCTTTATAAGACATGATAATACAAAACCTGCAACAGATTGGTTTGGGGAGGGATATTCAGGTGTATTGTCCTTACTGTTTTGAAAACGTCTTCATCGTCCCTTACGAATTTTCTCCTTGGTAATTACAAGCAGGATTTCCTCTGAAAGAAACACAAATCTAAAAAGGTAAAAAAGGTAGCATTATACTCTTCTCTGGCAGATAACATGTCATCATGATTCAGCCAAAGATCCCATTTTCTTTTTTCCACCCACACATCCAAGACAAAATGGGTAACTGGATGCCAGCTTCTTACAAAGATCATCCAGCTACCAGCGTACAAGCAAGAGCATTTAACTTTAGAAAAAGATAGAGGGGAAAACAGAAACTTTCTTGTAAAATCTGTGTAGAAGGAGATCCTATCATGAAATGTTCTGTTATTAGTTGTATTCTTAAGGCAGAGCAGTTTTTTTACTGGTAAAGACAAAGACAACTTTTCTTAACATTTTTAGGTCAAGTCATAAATCGAAATAATAACTGGATTTTTATTTTTATTTTTTCAAACTTCCAGAATGAAAGTAGGTTGTAAACTTTATCACCAAAGATTATTAGGCTTCAAGGAACTTGGCAAAAATTTTGCTGAATCTCTGTAGTTTGGATTTAAATTAAGGTTGGATTTATTTGAGAGATACTATAGCTTAGTGGTATGCTGTTATAGGGGTTGGTACAGGGAACATTCTAAAAGAAATGTCAAGCAGGTGGACAGAATAGTTTATTAAAAGGTGCTTTTTGACCTTTAAATTTCATTAAATGAAATAATTCAGATTATCAGATTATGAACTACGTGAGCCAAACAAGATGTTTCCAAAAGCAATAGAGAAGAATAATTCTCATGAAAGGAATTTAGTATTTCCTTCTGTTCTCGAGAATGCCGTAATATGACTCAGTAGTTGTTCATAAAACTTTGAAAGTATATGATAGGGTTCCCTTCCTAGAAAAGTGCCGGCATATATGGTATCAATCAATATGGAAGAGAATTGCCATCTTACGGGGACTGAGATCATGGCAACACTGAAATGATCATCAAGTTGCATTCATTGTTGTTGTTGGCTGATCTCATTTTTAATCTGCCGAGTCTGAGTTCAGTAGTAGCAGCATAAGGTCTTGATAGAACTCTAAGGTAGGCCCTTGAAGAAGCCCTTCTGGCAGCTGGCTTAGTCTTTTGCCATAATTTGGTGGTATCTTCCCTGTTGTGTACATGAGCAGCAATCTTCCCTCTCTCTCAAGGCAGTGCACTCAAATGGTCATACAATTTTCATCCTGACTAACAATTTCCAAGAACTGCAGCTTTTACAAATGGCTATAAAAAGGGAGTATGTAATGCTTCAAAATTTTTTCTGAGTAGTGTCAACTTAATTTCTTGTCTTGCTTTATTTTGTGTGTGATTTTGGTGAGTGTGGCTGACATGAAAAGAATTCTTTCAGAAATACCTCCTAAATGAAAAAGGAGGGGAAAAAAAGAACTTTTTAAAAATCATAGATTTTTAACTAGAAGTCACAAAAAGCAGTTTATATCTTGCCAAAATACCAGTTGAGTGACAAAAGCAATGATCAGCTTCAAAGGGGTCACTGTAGCCCTGTTGATTTTAAGTGCTTTCAACAGAACTCCTAATTGCTCCCTTTTCCTGGTATGGTTCTCATTTCAGCCAGGTAGATAAATATTAGATGCCATCCTGCTTCCCTTGTTTGTCTCTCTTTTTTTTTTTTTTTTTTTTTTTCCTCAATAATAGGCATTCTTTCCTATTTAAAGACTCTGTTCCTAAGGAAATAAATGTAATTACACTGCTGAGATGTTCAAAGAGCTCTCCAAGTTATCATTATTTTTCAGAAAATGCATTGCCTTTCTTGTCCTTGTCATCGACTATTGAAAGAAACGTGGCTGTTGCCATGCCACTGTTGCCAAGTGGTTATAATGATGCATATAAATCTGAAAGTATTAACACTTTAAAAATCAATTAACAGTCCATCAGATCAGGAAAGTTTGTATACTGTGGCCAGGAAATTACTATACCAACTATCAAAATATCTGGTTACTCTCTGTAGAGTTGGCTTTTCGGCCCTGTCCACTGTGGTGTTTTACTAGAAGTGTCTTGCCTTGGAATTGGCAAGCAAGGTTAGAAGAGAGGGAGAGGAAAATAGGCTTAGTCTCTTCTCTGAAGAGCTAAGGTTCATCCATGTTAAAGCAATTGAATTAATTTGGTTCTGGATAAGTACTGCTTTTTATGTGCTAGAATATATATCATTATCATCTACAGTTGTTCTTGCCTACTTATTCTTGGAATATCACCTACTGTGATTTGAGTAAACAAAAGCTGTGCAGTTAGCCTCTTGATTGTAAGTTTTGCCTCTAATCAGCTATGTAAATCAGGAAATCCCTCTAAAGTTTTTTATGCTAACATAGTTCTTCATTATTATTATTTTTTTAGGGGAGTCAAGAGGTTAGGAAACACAGAAGGAAATTTTCTAACCTTTCTGACTTTCATTAACAGTTTTCAAACCTGAGGAGCTGCGCCAGGCTCTCATGCCTACCCTCGAAGCTTTGTACCGGCAGGACCCAGAGTCTCTACCTTTTCGACAGCCTGTGGATCCCCAGCTTTTAGGGATTCCGGTGAGTTGGCATTAGAAAAACATAAAATGTTTGTGTGTTTTGTCTTTGCTCATGTAAACGTTTTGTCTTTTCTGTTCAAAATATTGTGAACAGTTGACATCTTAAAAACAAAGGGTTTTGTGTGTGTTTGAAGGATTACTTCGACATCGTGAAGAATCCCATGGATCTTTCAACCATTAAACGTAAATTGGATACTGGGCAGTACCAAGAGCCCTGGCAGTATGTGGACGATGTTTGGCTGATGTTTAACAACGCCTGGCTCTACAATCGCAAGACTTCCAGGGTCTACAAGTTTTGCACTAAACTTGCGGAGGTGTTTGAACAAGAAATTGATCCTGTTATGCAATCACTTGGCTACTGTTGTGGGCGCAAGGTATGTATTCCATGGATGGAGTTGTATCCTTCCAAAGAACTTAGCTTGATTAATCAGATGAAACATGAGCTTTGTAGACTCTTTAAAAAAAAAAATTGAAGTACTGAATGAAAGGTTTGCTAAAAGTTTGGCTTTATTATAAACATGCTAAGAGCTAAAAAAGGTAGGCAGCATCCTTCTTGCTGCTGTTGTATTATTATTGTTGTAATTTTCTCCCTTGGAGAACACATTTTTTGGTCACTGGTGATACTAAAATGCTTCGCTTGTTTCCCATGTCTGTTGCAATGAAGTAGGAGGTTAGAGGGTCAGCTGTTCAGCTTACATAGTTAATAATTGTAATTAAGAGAGCTGTGCTAATGCATTTACAATAGTTTGGAAGAGTGTGATAAGCAAAATGTGTTATGATGTCCATAAGCATCAGGTTTGTCTAATAGATACTTGATTAATATAAGATTACATTTTAAAGCTGCTTTTCTCACTGTTGTTTTGCAGTATGAGTTTTCTCCACAGACGTTGTGCTGCTATGGCAAGCAGCTGTGTACTATTCCTCGTGATGCTGCCTACTACAGTTACCAGAATAGGTAAGTCCTTGACTTCCTGGCCCTCCCACCCCACCCTCCCATTCAGGAAGTGAGATCCTTTGAGTTCTCTGCACATACGGAGGAGAAGGATTATTAACTTTCTTTCCTTTATCAGCTCAGTCAAGAAAAAGTTACTTATATATCTTTGCATGCTGCCCTTTTGCAGGTGACCCTTTAGTTTCCTGTACTTCAGCTTGCTACTCACTGTACTTAAGTACTTCCTTTTAGTTAGGATGCACCACATAAGTGGAAGTGGAGTTGTCCATGTTTCCTACAAAATGAGTAGCAGGGCCTGCTGGAGGTAAAAGGGCAGAATTGCACAAAGGCACTGAGAAATCATGTTACCTTGTTCTAGGAGAAATGTAAAAAAGTACACAGGTTTGTGCTTGTCAGAGTAGTGTCCGAATTTGCAAAGTAAGGGATACAGTGGTTGATTGCAAGACTTACATTCTCTCTTGCTAGTTAGTACTTAATTCTATTTAAGTTAGCTTTAAATTAGCATTGAAAACTACTCAGAGACTCCTGAGAAGCTGTGACAACAATAGTCTTATTTCTTAATTAGTATTAGGATTCGGTATTTGTATGATTATTAAATAATTGTACATTATAAGACTAATTTTCCACTTAATGCTTAAATCAACAGTGCTGTAATAACAAAGTAAACTTAGAACTTGGCTTTGGTTTTGATTTCCTAGATAATGTTTCCCCTTCCCAAATGCAAACTATAAATGGGCTGACACACAAACTTCCTTTTCCCTGTTTAAAACAAAGTTATGAATTACTTTCCATAGGCTTGGCAGTCTGTAAGTTTTGCCAACTTTGAAGTGCACAGCAGGCTGTTGTCTAACTGAAGTTAAAGAACTGATTTGTTCAGTCAGTGCTTGCATTTCTTCTCTCTTACGGAAATCCCTGTATCACCAAACATGCTATAAGATGGTGCAAGACTGTTGTGTACCACCTAGCTGAAGCAGTACAGTGTAGGAGATGAAAACGGGTCATCTTAAATTGCATGCTGGGTCTTAGCTGGCCTTTGTGAGGCAGATGCTATTGACATGGAGGAATGTAAATTCATGAGCTCTCACAAAACATTTTATACAGACACTGTGAACTCTTAAAATAGTTAGTCTGGACACAAAGCAATTAAAATGCATTTAAAGAGATAGCACTCAATACTGGAAGTGGGGGGAAAATAACCCTTAAATACCAACTCTAAGTGGTAGAATTTCGAATACTTTTCATGTTATGCACCCAGGTAGTGCTGTACTTGAAAAGCAGCTTTAGGAATAATTGAAGGGGTCATTTTTAATTCCCACCCCCCACCTCAGTTATACTTTTCCTATTTAAGTTAGTGTTAAATCATTTGGATTACTGAGTCGAAAGCAGCTTTAGTTGCTTGCAAGAAATACAGGTTTGATGGGGCAGTGGGCTCCTCTGGACTCAGGGATGCAATATTTCAGTTTCCTACCTGGTATAAATGTGATAGTCCATTTACACTGAGTTTAGTCTAAAAGGGTAGTAATAAAAAGGAGGGGATTTGTTTAAGTGTCAGTAGGCCAGCAGCAGAACAGAAGTAGGTATAGATTTCTGTTGATCCAGATGTGAGGAAGGGTTGGGTTTGGGGATTTGGGATGGATTTGAGTTGGGGTGTTACGAGGTTTTTTCTTTCAGGCCAACTAAATCAAGCGATAAATTGGGGGGGTTGGGTTGGGTTTTTTAAGAAAATATTTCTGAAGCTCAGTCACCATATTTTTAAGTGTGCATTTGGACTGTCAGAACATAGAAAGCCCTTATTCATCAGATGTATTGCCGTAAAAGAGCCAAAGGAACTGTTTCCTGTGATAGCGATCTTCAAATCTTAGATTTTTCATAACCACGTAGCACAGTAGTGAAAAACACATTCTGTGCTTCCAATAGATCTTTAACTGGTCAAATGTGTTTGACTTTTTCCATTTGCAGAACAGACAAAATGGGGTGTACCACATACCTAAATTACAACTAGTAGGCACCATTGAATAAATTAACTCTGGCACTACAGTTCAGTAATTAAAAGTTAATTATTTGGTGTAGAACTGTTGGGCTTCCATAATAAAACAGAAGTTTAGGTTAAGTGTTCAGAAAATACACTTCATATGTGACTCTCCAGTTGAGAAAACTGATCGGTATTTCATATCAGTACTAACATCCAATTACTAATTTAGAATTTCCTTTGAATGCACTTAATTACATTTGGAAATTCACCTCTTAATGCAGAGATTGATCATTTTCTGGACTTCGGTATTGAACCATACTGTTACTCTTTGATAAATGGGAATCAGTCATCTGAACAGTCTGCATTTGAAAAGCTTTTCATTTTTGATGTGTTGCAATAAGTACATTCTTTGGATTTTCTGTGACACTTATACCTAGAATACTGTATGCTTTCTCTGGGGTTTGCTGAATATTTCTAGTGACATGCAAAAGTCAGCCTCCATTTCTGAGGGTGCATATTCATAATAAGTTATAGCTATTGTTTCACCTTGGTTGTTTTATGGACAGATGTTCATGATCTTTAGGTGACTCATTTTCACTGTATTTCAATTTTTATTTCCTCATTTTAATATCATACATTAAGGCTTGACGCTTGCAGGTGCTAAGGCTTCCATTCTGCAGGATCTGGAATCCTGTGATCCCCTCTGGATCTGGAGCGCATGCTTAACACACTGCCAAACCAAAGCCCTCATCCCCACAAGACTGAGCTTGCTGCAGCATGAACAGAGGGCAAAATACCTGTGCTGGTGAAGCTAGTTAGAGTTCTGTGGTGTAACTTAAATACAGTATCGAAGGCAGCCTCATTGCTCAAGTTTCGTGAGTGCCTTAAAAGCCCATAAATTGTTCTGAAAATGGATCAGAATTAACCTTTTCTGGGATTGTTTAAATGTAGGAAAGTACTAACAGGAGCCTTGACCATGGATTTTTCTGGTGTTTGGGTGGGTCCCTTCTGTGTTTCAGTCCTTCCCAGTCTGACTTTTAAAAGGAGCAACCTGTTAGTAAGGAAAATAATTTGGTTTTTAATTGAAGAAAAATATAAAAAGGCGCATTATAGAAAATAAAGGACATAGTGTGTAAAAGGATATAAAATTCTGAACTTGTAATGTTTAGGGTTTGGGGTGAGGTTTTTTCTAATTATTAAACAATACTGTATCCATTTAGGGGTATGAGGTGAGTGAAGTTAGTGTAAACAAGATGTGCGATGTCGATATCCAGTCCTGAAATTATCTTGTAGTATTGCTCTGTAACAACCATGATACATTTATTATTACAAATGATTACAAATTAATGGAATACTACTTTATTTTCCTCCTCACCTTGTTCTATTGCACTGTCAGCTCCAAAAGGCTTGGTTTTCCCTGAGAGGGTGATGTGTTTAGTCCTGGTCAAGCTGACCCAAAAGTCACTTGCAGATTAACCTGTGGCAGGCTGGCAAGCAGCCCTCTGGGCAGGGAGCAGAGCATTTTAGCTCATGTGTTTGCTATTAAAGTTGCAGCTGCCCAGCTGGTAAGATGATTTCATGGGTATTTCAGTATGGGCTGTATTAACTAGAATAAAATACACCTTTTTTCCTCTTCGTATCAGCCCCACAGCAGTAGGAGCATTCAGTGTGCTGCTGCATTTAAGTGGTTCTTGGCTAGCAGAGTAGCTCTTCGAGCCTGAGCCAGCTGGCAGAGTTTGCAGAAGTTTTCAGGCTCTTGTAAATTATGCTGTGGTAACACAGACCTGGCTCCAGCCTGGGGAGGACACAGATTGCTCTGCAGAGTGTCTTTCCCCAGTGCATCAGGCGCTGCTGGAGGACCCACTTCCACTTGCTGCACTGTGTCTCACAAGGGTTTAGAAACACTTAGTGGTGACGTGATGGCCCATGTGTGTCACAGGAGGCAGTTCCATACATCTCAATAAGTGCCTGTAAATGGCTTCCATGTCTCCAGGAAAGCACAGCCTTGGAGTTCTTTACCTGGATTCCAGTAGTTTAACTGTATGAGTATGTGTTTGAAGGGGCAAGCTGCCTTATTTATTAATCTCCATCCCTTAAGTTGTTGGTTCATTGTGACATTGAGTCTTGTTTGATGCTTTTTATACTTACCATTCTTACAGTTCTAGTGTTTGAGTACTAAAACTGCGTTTTACTGTGCTGCCGTTGCTGCTTATACTCTCTCACTCTTGATCCTCCATAAAGCTCTTTTATTTTAGCGATCCTTTGTGGCCTTCCTGCATTTTACAGCTCTGGCCTCTCTTTGTTACCTTTGTTCATGTGTGAATTCATACCCTTTCCAAACATTTAGCCTCCTTTGTTTTATTTTATTTTTAATGACCCTGACAACTTTGGTTCCAGTTCATCTGAAACAAACACACCCAAAAACCCCCACCAAAATCCATGTAACTTTGATTTTATTTCTTTTTTTCAAATGCAGATTGTATTTTCATAGAGTTGTATTCCAATTTACTCAGCTTGGTTTGTTAAACTGCAGCATTGGTTTTGCTGAGTATAACTTGGATTGGCTCTTGGTCTGGTGACCAAAAATTATACCTAGCCTCATTCAATTTGTAAAACTTAATTCCACATCTTTAATGTACCCTGATAAATGTATGTATGTACAATATTTAATGTTGTTCACATATATACATATATTGCACCTATATAGATAAATGGCTGGAAACTCTGACCCACAATTGCATTTCTGTTGAATGTTTGTCTAGAGTATGGATTTGGTTTCATTTATATTAAAGAATATTAGTTGAGCAATTGGTCACATTTAATCTTACAGTCAAATAACTTTTGAATTTAAGATTTTTATAGACTTTTTTTCAGCTTTTACAGTTCTTACTGACAATCAGTAAATGCTTTCAGCATATTTTCTGATCACTTAAATCTGTAATAAATGTGTTCTTAAAGCTTTTTGACAGGCTGCTTTTTTACCGAAAGGAAACTCGGGTCAGTCGCAAGCCTGTAATCAAAGAGCATTTTTTCCTAAGTAATGCAAATCAAATCCAAATTCTTAAATTTGAAGCCCATACGAATGTAGCACGTGGTAGCTACTTTATTAATCCTCCCCAAATTTTGAATCTGACACCCAACGACTTGTTAGTAATGTATAAAATGAGACCGAATGCTAATCTGTGCTTTGCCTTGGCTTTCTGCTCTGTGTTGTCTTGGTGTTTGCGTCTTACCTCTTATGTCTGTGCTGTTTGTTCCCTCCCCTGTTCTCTAATCCTGCCCTCCCCTCCCCTCTGTTCCTCCTCATTGTCCACACTGACCCATCAATCAACCAACAACGCCCCCCCTTTCGTCGTGGTGATCTGCCCTGCTCTGGTTGGTGGCTCCGTGCTTGGGTGGCTGTATGTTGTGCTGGACCAGTTCACCCAAATATGGCCTTCTTGCTGACAGGTATCACTTCTGTGAGAAGTGTTTCACTGAAATTCAGGGGGAGAATGTCACCCTGGGTGATGACCCTTCCCAGCCTCAAACGTAAGTTGCTTCCTTTCTTCTGCATGCCACATTTTTAAATAGGAGGGATGATGTCTAGTCCTGATGTGATAGTAAAACACCATGGCCAGTGGTGGTGTTCATGGGGAAATGTCTACTTTCTTACTAATAGGAGGTTTTGCCCACCAATGTTGCTTGTGTCCAGTTGTGCTACTCAAGAGCTGCCCATAGGCTGATTGCAGGGAGTAGCAGATGTTAGATAATGTGGTTGGAGTGGGGTGAATGGAAGCTATGTAAATAAATATCACTAATCCATTACCTTTTCAAATTAAAGACTTCAGCTAATCCTGATGTCTCACCTTTTAAAATACAGCTTTTGTTTATGAAACCAAAGGCTTGTCTTTAACCTCACCAGAAAATAAGATGCTCTTAGATCTGAGGAATACAAGCTGTTTTGGAAAGTGTCTGCTTTACTGACGATAGCTTCCCCTGTTTTTTATGATCTTAAATTTATGTGTATACTGGGGTATCTCTTATTTTGCTTTTAAGTTACACAGAAAGTGAAATGGGAAAATTACTTTCTGTAGCTTATAATGAACTGAATTGCTTTCCCTGAATAGAAAACAAATACTGATACACTTTCTTCAGACTTGAGGTTTGCTCATTTGCTGCATTTCAGAAAAGCATGATGTTGTCTTGGCCTCTGATACAAAGGTACTACTGAATTTTCATATTAACTCTTTGTCTCCAGAACCATCTCTAAGGATCAGTTTGAAAAGAAGAAAAATGATACACTAGATCCAGAGCCGTAAGTACCAGGCCATTGTTTTTCTTAAGTTAATCTTGCCCTTTAGCCAGCACATCAGAAATCAGGCAGTGAATAAAAAAGCCTTAATTTTTCCCTGCATCTGTGCCCAAACAGGCTGCAAAATCTTTCTCTGGAGTTCATAGCACAACATGTGAACGTGATGTGTAGTATTGATATGCAAGGAGAAAACATGAGCCTGCTTTAATGGCAGTTTCTAGTTCTGTTTATCTGGATAATTCCTAAGGTGTGTTCTGCAGGGAACTGCACAACTGGCTGAAAATGGCCCTGTGTCATACAGAGCCTTTCACACCAAGCCCTGAAGACATGGGCAAATTCGGCATTTTCCTCTTCTGTTTAGCTAGACTTCACTGGAGTGCTTAACCCACTGAAAGAGATATTGTCCTCCCTTGTTCTTGTTCCCCTCAGGAAGTTTGGTCAAAGCTGAGTTGGATATTCCTTCAGTAGCAGTGTGCTACTTTTCCTACTGTCCTTAACTAGCTGAAGCAACATTTTATCTTAATACTCCTTTGTTCCCTGGCAGTTTGATAACACAATACATTTTGATTCCTTTTCTTATCCTTGCAAATACTAAATAGAGCTCCGTCCATAGGCTTTTAAAGGTAGACTGCAGAGATAGACCCCGATGCATTTGGCTTCATCAGTAGTATTGCAGTCTTGACTTGGAAAAGCTCTAACGTTTTTTCCCATCCAAAAAAAAAGAATTTTGACATGCTATTTTCACAAAAAAAAAAAAAAAACAAAAAAAAAACAACCACCACCAAAACCGAACTACAGCAGACCCATGCAGGCAAGAACAAGCTAATATATTTTCTCTTGGCACAGTGATTCACAAATGACTAGTTTTTACATCTACAGTAAGTTGAATGGCTGTTTAGTCAGCTTATGGTTGTTGTTATAGCTGAAAATTAAATCTGTGGAGGTACTGTTAAGTAGAATTGTGAAGCTAGAAAAACTCAGAGCTCTGCTTAGGGAAGGATAGAAAAGATCCAGAAAAAGTTATGTGTGGCAGCCCATTTCACATTTTTAAACCAGTACATTTTACAATTTTATTTTTATATACATATATAATATGCACATAAGATTGATAGATGTATATCTGAAACTATTCTAATGAGCAGTTTTTTAAATTGACACATATGTTGAGCCTGCTGAAGTTGATTCAGTTCTTAGCAAAAGGTTGGAAAGTCCTTCTTTCTTGGTGAATTCTGGGAAGTCACTTGCCTATCAACTAAAGTGATTGTCTGCTGTTTTTTCTTCTCAGGTTTGTTGACTGCAAAGAGTGTGGTCGGAAGATGCACCAGATTTGTGTATTGCATTATGATATTATTTGGCCTTCAGGGTAAGATGTTTGTTGGTGTTTTTTACCCTTTGTATAATAATCAGTGTAGTTTATACAACCAAGACTTTCTGCCTTTGCTCTTTCATGTGCAGTCACTGCCTTCTAAGAGCTGAGTACAAACGGATAAAGTGTTTCTAAATGCATTTTTTTTGGTGGTTGGGGTCTCATTTCAGTATATTCAGATGAAAATTGAATGAAACCAACTTGTTCGTGTATGCAGGTTTCTGTGGTTTCTTTCTAAATTATTAAACAATGGAAGCTGGTTGGAGATAAGTTTCTATACTGCAGAACACAAATGCAGGTGTAACTGCTTGGCAGAATTAAACCAGCTCATAAAGGCTTTAAGTCCCTCAAAAAAGGAGAGATGGGTTCAAACACTGGGTTTAAGCTGGCCAATATAATGGGTGTATACTAAGGTTTTTGGCAATTTTTTTTTTTTCTCAATAGGTTTGTCTGTGATAATTGCTTGAAGAAAACTGGTAGAACACGCAAAGAAAACAAGTTCAGTGCTAAAAGTGAGTTTGCTATTTCTATTTTTATCTTCAACTTTCATCTTCTCCCTGCCACCCCTAATAGCTTTTTGATTGAGACCTCCTGTTGGCACCATGAACAGTACAGGAATGTTTGCAAATGGGGAGTAGTGTAGCCCAAGGCTTTAGTAGTTGTCAGAATTTTAATCAACGTTTTAAAGACCTGCTCTTTATGTGTTTGTGGTCGGTTTTAATGCTGCTTGAGGTATTTGGTGCCTGTGTTCTTGTTTTTCTAAGATTCAGACAAATTAGGGGAAAACAGAACAAGGGAAACATCCGGCTGTATGCACTTTACTGTATTTAAACATGTTTCCATGTAGTGTTGAAACTGTAGTAAATTACTGTCACCTCTGCCCTTCAAATAACATGTAGTAACAAGTTGTGCTGCATTTCAGGTGTACTGTGGTGATGTCAAGTACTAATGTACTTGAAGAGCTTTTGCTTGTAGAGTGCAACCGTCCACTAGAAGAAGTAACCAATTGTACTGTGTGCCTAGATTTTCTTGGAAGTAACCATTGTCGTAATATTGTTGAAACATGCACTAAAGAGTGTACCAAAAGATGCCGGGTCAAGTTGCCTCCGTCTCCATAGTAATCCTTACATAGGCATTCTTTACATGTATTTAACATCAGGGAACATGATTTGATAACTTTTACTCATGCAGATTTGTGTGACGGGGAAGGAGTAGGAACTAGCATTGAAAATGCCATGTCAGTGCACAGAGAATAAAAATAACGTGAGTGTAGAAACTAAGAGAGTGATTCAGACACTTGAACGACTAGAACTTGCAGTAACTCTTGATTCCTCCCCTGTTCTTCTCTGGTCCTTGGAAATTCTGGGCATTACCTTGTCATACCATGACTTTGCAAGCCTAAATCTTCCAAATTGTAATAAGAGCATGGTTTTGCATTAATAATGTGGAACTTCTTGGTAACTTCGTGTGTGGTTGATTGCATAATAAGAGATCCAAAGGGGGATAATTTGGAGATGATAATGCCGCATGAGGCGTATTAGGTTACAGTAATCAAAACGGTCTCTGGAGTAACCTAACGCATGCAAGATAGTATTGTTTAAAAGACTAAAATTAGCCTCATTAAAGATCGTTTAAGATTGTAAGAGAACATTAATAAAATGATGAAATAAAAATGTAGGTTTAGGCAACTGTTTTAAATAGATGTCTCTTCTATTGTATGCTGGTTGTACAGCATATATTAATGTAAATTATCTTAAATAAGTATGTGATTGCTTGTATGTCTGCAGTTGTTCTGTGGCATTGCTTAAAGTTTGAGTAACCAGCCATTTAGTTCCAGGTGACCATTTTGCTCTTTGGGAATCTGGACAGGGAAATAATGGTGCTTTTTTCCTTTCCACTGATCTCCGTTTCCTTCCCCTTGTTTTCTTTTTCCCTTGAGTCCTGCTGTCAGCTGTTAATCCACTGGTGGGCTCAGCTCTTGAGATCAGTTTTCTTGAACAGTGCTCTAGTGGAAACATAAGAACAGGGAAGGAAAGCTTGCTCTTGTTGTCAAAACCTTGATCTTACTACTGACTTGAAAACAAACATGAGCAACGAAGGTTTGAAACATTAACATGTTTCCTCTCTCCTTCCCTCCCCATAACAACCTTTACTTAATGAATTGCCGTCAATATTTCTATCCTTTCTCAAGCTTGCTGGCACAATTGCTGATAATCAAGATAGCACATCCCTCAGCTGCAAGCTACTGCTCAGCTATTATGGTAACATTCATATTCCTAATGTATATGAAGTCAAATTGGTTATCTTAACTACATCGCAAGTAGATTGCATAAACCTGACTGATAGCATGCCAAATGCAGCGTATAAACCAGCATATAGATAGCTTATGCTGTGAAAATTCATAACCTTTGAAGTATGTTTCTTACCAAGAAAATCTACAAATATTACTTAACCACTAGCTAATGCAGAGACAAAAGATATCCTGACAAGTAAGTCACTCAAAATAGTTTCCCGACAAAAAGTCTCAGTAAGCCAGAAGTCTGATTTTCTTCCTATCTGTCCAATTACTCATGCTATAGCAAGTCTCTGGCCATTGCTACTGCAACAGAACTTTGGTACTCAGTGAGTCTGAAAGTCTTCTGTGCTGTTACCGGTTTGGATGCCTTTTTTCCAAGTTTGCACTGCCATTTTCATTGAGACCTGAGCCTTTATTGGAAGTATGTATGTTAGAGGTATCCAAGAACCAAAATCCAGTTGCTTTCTAAAAGAATTTGCACATTCTAATACATCAAAATATGTGACTTTGGTTCCCTTTGTTACAGTGCATGTAATCTTTGTTCAGCCTCTTTCTTTGTATCTTCTTATCTGGTCTTTTTGTTTGTTTGTTTTTCAAGTCTCAATGCATTGCAGCATAAGGAAGGAAGCAGATATCCTTTGGTTGCTTAGCATTGAAAAGATGGTAAAATGAACATACAACAAGACAGTAGAGTTAACTAAAATGGCTTTCTAAAAATGTACCAACCTATTAGCTGAAATTGAGCTGTTTCTTTTTTATTCTGATTTGTTTTCAGAGAAACCAACAAAATGAAATAATTTCTTCAGAAAGTATTCGGGCTTTTTCTTTAGAATTCTTTGACTTTCCTTTAAAATCAAGCCCCTTTATTATATATGGAAAGCCAAATGTATTATACTGGGCTGGGAAACACTGGGAAAGGCCAGTGTATTGGAATTAGTAAGAGGCATAGTGTAATTTTTACTTTAACATGCCTTTAAGTTTAATTATTGGCTCTCAGGTAAATGATCCTTAGAATGTGTTGTGCTAGTCATAGCCACAGAATCCCATTGGACACAGGGACAGACTAAAAGATGTAAAACAAGATTACCACATTTGACCATTTCTATAAACTGATTGTAAAATTAAATTTTAAATATATAAATCCCGTAGAAAGTGAGGTCTTCCTTCGAGTATATGTGGCATTTTTGCACAGTATTGGAGCCTAAAAAATTTTTTAGGATAGATATACAGCATTCTGTATGCAAGGTTGTAGCCAGGAAGAAGAACCAACAGCCTTCTGTCAGTAGCCAAATAACAACTGAAAAATGAAGCAATGGAGAGCTGAAAATGAATGCATTTTAGTAAAATGAACATCTGTACATTGCACCATCACTTTGTAAAAGATAGCAGATTGACTGTAAAAATGAAATAGAAATACTACTTGGTAAAATAAGTACAGCAGGGTAAGAGAAATAGTCATAAATCTTCAAGTCAAAACAGTGTACTGCTTCTGTTTTCTTAATTTAAACCAAAATCTTCAACTTAATTTCTGTAATTTGTGGATTTATTTGAAATCCATCACATCGTGTAATACTACAAAATCAGCTATTCCTACAAAAACTAATTGTAAATGTAAAAACGGAGAGGGGGATCTGGACAATATGTGGACTTGAACTTTTGAAGACCTCTATTGCTGTGCAAGAACTGTTTTAGCTTTATGTGCAGATTACTGTAACTATTCAATCTAAAAGCTCTCTTGAAAAGAAAAAGCAATGAAATCTCCATTGAAGTCAAAAGGCTTTTCATTTCTGTTGATTTGCTTTGCTTTGCCTGAAAAGGTGTGGCATTGAGCCAGATCTATAAAGTGATGTAATCTCTGTCAAACAGCCAGATAGTGTTTTTGTTAGGAGAAAACATTTGCAGTGTTCATAAAATAAGCCTGCAAATTTAGAAATGCGATGTAAAGCTGCCTTTGTTAGTTCACTCACGAAGTAATTTTCCCACTATAGTGGTTTTAGCTTCCACGATAGGGTGTGAACATTTATGGCTTGGGTAAAAGCATGGATGGGTTTGCTTTTTTAATTTTGGCTGCATAAATAAAAGCATCAAATTTTCATATGGAGGTATAACAAAGGGAAAAAAGCCTGCTTCCATGCAGAGAAGCAACCTGAAAGACCTTACAAGCATGGTAACACCCTGACTTAACAGTGATTTCTCCAGCATTAACATTTCCGTTGTCATGTTCTTCCCCTTGATTTCTAGGGCTGCAGACTACACGTTTAGGAAACCATTTGGAAGACAGAGTAAACAAATTCTTGCGGCGACAGAATCATCCTGAAGCTGGAGAGGTTTTTGTCAGAGTAGTAGCAAGTTCAGATAAGACAGTAGAAGTGAAACCAGGAATGAAATCAAGGTTAGTTCTATTAATTACAATAAATGGGATCTTGATTTTTTTATTATTATACTGACATCTCCCTGCAAAAAATCTCAAAATGGTGCTAATTTGTGCCTTAATCCCTTTGCATGTTTTTGAAATTCAGGCATTTATAAGATAACGAAAGGTGAAAAAAGCAGTATGCAGTAAACTAACTGAGAGGAGGAGACACTTGTATTTCAGCTGTTGGGGTGTAGCAGAGACATCCTGGTTTTGATTATACTATGACTTTGTATTACTAAATCTCGAGAGAGAGTCTGACCATGTTTTGTTTGGCATTACAGAATCCGTAGTTTAGTTTGGAACAGTAGCTGAGATTCTCTTCTTTACTGTTCCTTCATTTTATTGTGTTTTTATAAATACCTTAGCTTTTCAAAGTTTCTTTAAATTTGCCTCATCATAAAGGAAAAACATAAAATGTTTATTCTAGAAAGTATTTTGGCTTTAATTCATGAAGACAGTGTTCACATTACATCACTTCGTCATAATGCATCAGGTTTTCTTCTCTGTACCATGTTTCAAGGCTTGCGGTTTCTGAGGATGCTCTTGTACTCAATGCTTGCCTGTTCGTTCGTATGGTAACTGTATGGAAACTGTCTTGCCATGAGTTTTATAGTAACAGGGCTCCCTGTTTTATACAGCTCTGATCTGACCCTGTTTAACTTCTGCATAAATATTTCTAGTAAGTTAAAAATAAGGTTGAAAAGGATTTCCTCTTTCTGGTTGGACACTGGTTTAATAGCTTTTTGTTGTTGTGGTGGGGTTTTTTTAACTCCTTTTCCTTCCTACCACCCTTCTTCAGATTCGTGGACTCTGGTGAGATGTCGGAGTCTTTCCCGTACCGTACCAAAGCTCTGTTTGCGTTTGAGGAGATAGATGGGGTCGATGTGTGCTTCTTTGGCATGCACGTACAGGAGTATGGCTCAGATTGCCCCCCTCCAAATACAAGGTACTCTTTTATCTCTATACTGGTGGTTCTTGCACAGAGGACATCTTGCTACATTTAGTGGACAAATGTAAATTGTCCACAGTTATCCACAAAACACACAGAAGATGTGTTTCAATTCTGTGGCACAAATAAGTCTTCCTGTATGACTGCAGATGACTTGGAAGAGGAAAACAAATATCACAACAAAAATGTTATAACTTTTTTTATTGTTTTGTATTTAGTTTTGCCTCTCTGTGTATTCTTGCTGTCTTAAAAAATGCTACCCGTCTTTTGCTTTTGAGAACTGTTCATACCATGTTAAGATGCCTAAATACTTGTTAAAATAATACCATTAATTTGTTCAGTCTGGCTGAATACGTATCTAATACAAAAGTCAGTTCTCAGCAGACAAAACAGATGTTCAGCTATACATGATTTTCTGTCATTCTTCTCTCATTCCTACAGGCGTGTGTACATATCATATCTAGATAGTATTCATTTCTTCCGCCCCCGTTGTCTCCGGACTGCAGTTTATCATGAAATCCTCATTGGATATTTGGAGTACGTGAAGAAACTTGGGTAAGTGAGGTCTTTGTAAAGAAAGAAACCATTTTGTATTGTTTTTTTAATTCAGGACACTAAGTAGCTTTTGACTTGGGATGGTCTCTTTTTCCTTCTGCCAGATCTGAGATGTGTGGAACAAATGCCTCTGTGGAGAGACAAATTTGTCTGTGGAGAAATTTGAATTTTATCACTAACATGGTGTTAGGATTCTTAAACTGACAGCATATTGGGGTTTTTATCAGAGGTTCAATTGATGTTTAAGCTTCATTATTGTATCCCAGGCCTTTTCTCGTCTCTTGTATAAATAGAGGTTATTGCCTCAGCATTTGTTACCAAAAAAAAAAAAAAAAAGGAGGAGGTCCAAATTTATATCTCAGTTTGAATTAATTTTAAGATGTTAGAATGGTTAAAACTTCTTCCTTGTGTGTGAAATGCAGGTATGTGACAGGACATATCTGGGCCTGTCCCCCAAGTGAAGGAGATGACTATATTTTTCATTGCCATCCACCTGATCAGAAAATACCCAAACCCAAACGATTGCAAGAATGGTATAAGAAGATGTTGGACAAGGCATTTGCTGAGAGAATCATTCATGACTACAAGGTTTGCTACTGTACTTCCTGAATTAATTTTTATGGGCTTTTGTTTGAAGCTAGCTAATAGAGTTTCGTAATGCATGAAACTGTGGTAGTGTTGAACAAGGAGTTTTATTCTCACCTGGTGCCTCCGTTTTCTTAGATTTTCTGGAGGGTCTGGCTTTCAGACTGAATTCTTTAGGTTTGGTTTCTGCATTAAGAGAACTGTGCCAGAACCTTCCTTTGTGTATTGTCTTCCACTGCAGTCTTCTAGGCAAGGAAGTATTTGGCTTGTTAAGGTTTATACAAGGTTTATCTGCTGATTATTGAGGATCAGGTGGAATACTGGACCCACTAAGTGTAAAATCAAAAAAACTGCTTATATAACAGCTTCTTCACTTGAAGAAAGATTATTTTCATAACTGGAGAATATTGCATGTGTAACCAAGGAAATATGTTCAAGATGGCAAAAGTAGCATTTGCCACTCTTTACATGATAAAATTCACAAGAATTTCTTAATGGTAGTGACTTGCTGGAAAAATTGATGTTTTGATTGCCAGTGACAGTTTCTAAATGTGAGGAGTAGAACAATGTATAGTAAGCTTTGTCATCTGATCTGGCATAGCAAAGAACTAGAAAATCTGTTTGTCTCTGCTAAGGTCATCTTGAAGTTAATCCAGAGAAGAAACTTGGCTTGTGTTGTTTGTGCTCGTTGAACACAATGCACCTTAAAGAACCACCTCCAGAACAACTGTATGAAGTACCTGTTCCTTTTCAGAATACCTTCTCCTCTCGGTGGTCCCCATTCTTTTTGTCCAGGTGGCCCCCAGAGCTTCAGCCAGCCATTAGTGAATGACACAGGCTGCACACAATCCCCCTACCACAACCAGACTTCAATATTTCCCTGTGTAATAGATGTACAGTGCATTTAGCAATTCTTCTGGAGTTACCAGGCTCATTGCACCTATGATGCACAGCCCAGACTCATACATTGAAGTGCTTATGCATTTTTGAATTTGTAAGGGAAAGGGCTGGATGAGACACACTTGCTGTCATTAAAACAGTTCCTGCTCTTGTCTAGTGTAGGAAAAGCCAAGCACTGTAGGCTTCATGCTGAATTGGCAGTTACCAGGGAGGGGGTGGTTAGGTTTTCCAGGGGTAGTGTAGTCTCTCCCATGATGTCAGGAACATGAACCAATCACATGATGGAGGTCCAGGAGAGCCTTGGCAGCTGTCTTTCTAAGATGAAACAGGGAGTGGGCTGTTACCAATACTGCCAGGTGAGGCTTTGAGCAGCACCTAGAAAAGAAAGCCTGTGGGTTGGGCCATGGGCTTTGAGACACAGCTGTTCAGTGGAGCACTGGATCAGGTCTCTGGTTCTCCTCTCTTCTAAGCAGTCTTTATTTATTCTTGGCATTGTGTGGTACGCTTAACAGGACATCTTCAAACAAGCAACTGAGGACAGGCTGACAAGTGCCAAGGAGCTGCCTTACTTTGAAGGTGATTTCTGGCCCAATGTGCTGGAAGAAAGCATTAAGGAGTTGGAGCAGGAAGAGGAAGAAAGGAAAAAGGAAGAAAGTACTGCGGCTAGTGAAACCACAGAGGTGAGTTAACTTTATATGCTATATTTGCTTCTGGCTTACAAAGCTGACAATTAACTCTTTAATAAATCAGAGAATTCACATCCAGTAAGTGAGAAAAGAGGGTCATTCACATCCGATGTTAAATCAGGGTTCCCTTTAACTGCATTTCTGGTTTTCCTCTTAGGTAATAGTATACTGATGAATTGTGACTTTTGTACTTTTACAGAATCAGAAGTTATGTCAGTTCAGTATCTCTGTTCTCAGAAAAATCTTTAAAGCTACTTTTGGATTGCATCATCACTGTACATTTGCTTGCAATTATTTCGTTGTGCTTCCGCTTCACACCTTCATATGTCACTTTCAGTATTTTCATTTTGAAAGATGCTTTATTTTTCAAAGCTGAAATATTTTGCTGTTATTTAAGCAAAGGCAATTGTAGTCGTTGCCTCAGTAGGAGGCTGAAATTTCGAAGTATTTATTGCAAGCTTTGCATCGATGTGAAACATTGATCCTCGTGGTGGTTTTCTTTCACCAGCATTCTCTCTTTGTGCATAACAAAAACAAAACAAAAACTCAACAACGTAGTTTTTCAGGGTCCTGGCCAGAATTTCATTACTCATTTTTATTTCTGTCTTGATTGTAAGTAAATGGTCTTGGCACTTCTGTACTCTCTCCTTTACTTGTGATCTGCAGCAAGGTGTTTTGAAAATAAATATAGTAGGAAAATCTGAAGTCTAGCAGCTTGAGGTGGAACCAAAAGCTTTAACTGGGGAAAAACTACATTCAGCTTAGATGCCATGGCAATTTGCATACAGTATGTATTACATGGGATTGATGTGGAGTGGTAGACCTTAATCCATCAATTTCATTGGGTCAGAAAGTTCCTTCTGTTAAACCTTAGTGGCTCCTGCAAAGCTAATAGAGCTTGTTGCTATGTTCTTTATAGAATCATAAAGTTACTAGTTTTCACCTTGTTCCTTCTAAATGTAACTTCTAATATTGAAATATTCCAATAAACACAGCAGTGTAAAAGTAACTGAAAGAGAAGGCTTGGAATTTGAGTTGCAGTCCTCTTTTGCTAATAGTATCACTTTCAATAAATCATAGTATGCCCTTCCAGAAAAAACAACAGCGGTAAACTTCTACGTCTAAGAGGGGAAAAAAGGTGTTTTGAAAAGCCCAGCACAGCTAACTGTGAAACTGGTACAGGTTGTCTGCCCAAAGTGAGAAGGTGCAGCCTTGACTGTTAACATCCTTATGTTCCCACTTCACACCATTGATGTTGGAATAGCTTTGTACAATTGATCAAATATAAACTCGCTAAAGGTGCAGTAGAAAAAAAAAAACTTACACTGTTACCTAAGTTTCAATCTGTTCTCCCTTTTGGTGTTTAAACTTTCAATTCTATTGGTGCTGTAGAATACTTAGGCAAAGCAGGACATGCCCTAATTCCAGCTTCCAGAGAAGCAGAGGTGGGAACATACAGTAACTCTTTTCTGAATACCTTCAAATCACTTAGAGCTCTGTCTGGTTTTCCATAAAATAGTATAATTTTACTTTCCAAACAGGTTTGGTCAAAAAGTTCATAAAATTAGTTATGGAAAAAACACAGTTGGACAAGCAATTCCTATCTAAGCCTAATTAATGGAATGGAAGGATGGCAACAGTGTATATATATAATTGCTTCAGCTGGAGTATTTTCATGTTCTCTGAATAAATGTGCTTGCAGATAAAGCCTGTGTTTGCTTGTACATAGTGTTCATGAAACCTTCTTGCATGTATATATATATCTCTCAGAGTATTTCAGTAGCCTGTTTTAATATTCTAGCAGTTAGAGAGGGGGTTTTTATTGAGTGGTGAGCTCCCTGCTGAGACCTTGGGTTTTTATTTTTCAAGGACATGAGAAGTCTTAAAGTTATTTCTGTTTCCACGGGTCATCTAAATAGCATCATCTGCTATTTTTTACTCTTTACTTACATCTGGTATTCAGTATATGGTCACTGTGGTCTGTGTTGTTGTAACTTAGACACAAGTGAAGGTTTTGGGGAGTTTGGGCATCTTTTTTTGAGTCTTCAGATTAAGGTATTTTGTTAGTTTCAAATCCTGCATGTTTTGACCTGTGTACTAGCCCTAAATTTGTTCAATACAAATGAACATACATTAAATGAGAGCTCAAGCAAGTATGTGAAACCCCAGATACACAACGAAGCAAAATACTGCACTTCTGGAATTTAAGTTCATTTTATTTGTAACTCAGTTTTCATCAGGTATCTATGAGATCTTGTAAAGCAAGCAGTGGAAGTTGAAGTAACAGTGTTTGATAATGAAAAAAAAAGTATAATAGGAATTATTTAATATATATGCATACTTTAAACATTTGATTATTTTTTTTTAAAGAGTGTTTGAATTTGTCTACCAGTTTGGCTTTTGATTTTTCCTGGAAGATCGGATATATTTAACACAGTATTGCTGATTTGAAGGTATTGGAACAAAGGTCTGTTACTGTCAGCAGAAGTGTTTCACTTTCAGCTACAGTGAATGGGAGAGAGCTCTATATAAAGTGTAACATCTTTCCTCTGCATTTATTGCAGGGAAGCCAGGGTGACAGCAAAAACGCCAAGAAAAAGAACAACAAAAAAACCAACAAGAATAAGAGTAGCATCAGCAGAGCTAACAAGAAGAAACCCAGCATGCCAAATGTGTCCAATGATCTGTCTCAGAAGCTGTATGCCACTATGGAGAAGCATAAAGAGGTACTGTCAAAATACACTGCGTAAAGGGATTATTTTATTCCTGTAAATCCAGGCATGATGATACTCAGAACTGAAAAATCAGAAGGAGTAAAGCTTGTGATTGCACAATAAATATTTGGTTTGTAAGAATATATTGGAAGAGATTAGCTTAAACTAAGTTAATTAGATAACATTTGTAGCATAGCATTGCTGCAGCAGAACATGAGCTTTTTTCTGCAAGATGATCTAACCTCATTGATTTTTCTTTTCCCCTATTTATCTGCAGGTCTTTTTTGTGATTCATTTACATGCTGGGCCTGTAATTAACACTCTGCCTCCCATTGTGGACCCTGATCCATTACTTAGCTGTGATTTGATGGATGGGCGAGATGCCTTCCTCACCTTAGCCAGAGATAAGCACTGGGAGTTCTCCTCACTGCGCCGGTCCAAGTGGTCCACACTCTGCATGCTGGTAGAACTGCATACTCAAGGGCAGGATCGCTTTGTTTATACGTGCAATGAGTGCAAACATCATGTGGAAACAAGGTGGCATTGCACTGTCTGTGAGGTAGGTGGATATCGCCAGAGATTTCTGCTCTCTCTTGCTCTACAGCTGAGCTTAAGGGTTCATAGTGGTTTGGGGTTTTTCTTGATACTGCCCAAAGTTTTTCCAGATGAAGCCTATCTTGATAAAAGGGCTGCTAACCCTTAAAGGTGACTGCCACAGTGGAGTACCTCTTTTTCTAGATTAACTGCATTTAGTTTCTCAACATGGAAAACACCAGTACTCCAGAATGGCTACTGCTGCGTCATTTATTCCAGTATAGCTCCTCTGCATAGACAAGTTTTTAAGTTAAAGATCTTCAGGACTGAGTGGTAGGGTATGACTGCATTCAGACTAGTCTGAATCTGTAGAGCACTAGCTCATCCACATTAAATGCATGTCCACAAGAGAAGTTAGCTACTTTTCTGCAGTGTAGCTTTTGTTCTGCTTTATATGTGGTACCTCATGTTGTAAGGAGCACAGTCAGTGTGTGTCTGGGCTGCTACAAAGCTGGGTGAGGAGCTGACACAACTCTTCATCGTTCTCTCTTCAGCCCAGCATTAGTAGTTACCTGCCCTTCAGATCAGACCAAATAATTTTTTCCTAATCTGGCTCAATGCTTTTAATGACTACTACTTTTACAGCATAGATCACTTCCACTGAACTATGTTAGAAAGTAATTATGTGTGGAGTTACTGTTGGACTTGAGGAGGAGGAGGTGGCCTCTGGAGGACTTGTGATGACTTCTGGCTGTAGTCAAACACAAAAAAATAAAAGGAAATTGAATAAGTGCAGCTTAGTTTTTACAGTGCAAGTTATTGCCAGGTTTGTAGTGGAAATCTTAATTAATCCCTCTGAGGAAAGCAGTGAACAGGGCTTATTGAGGCAAGACTGAAGGACATGGATCGTACACACTGAGGGAATTAAGTGGTGGGCGGAGGTATAGCCATTAGGCTTCTGCTGGGTGCTTCTGTATAAGAGAGTGTTCTTCCTCCAGCCAAAAAAAGGACAGGGCAACTAAAATGGGTGGGAGCTGAGCAGGTTTTCAGGTTTATGTCTGTCATAGCATGAAACTTGCACTTGATTTGAGGGTGGTTTTAGAGATAGAAAAAAATACATATTTCAGGGTGGTAATTATTAGTCAGTAATTGCACTAAGAACAGCTAAATGGAGAGCCAAACTCAGTCTTTCAGGCAGGGACAGTAAGTTTGTCTTACTAGTTTGGAGGGTTTGGCTCTCCTTCCATAGGTTATCCAGGTAGACATCCCAGAAAAGTAACTAGTTCCTCTGATCAAAAGGGAAAAACAAAGCCAATTCCTGCCAGACTTCATGTAATAAAATGAAGATACAATTACAGCGCCTCAGTGTGTTGTTACTGATAATAGTCAAGACTTGTGATTGTGGGCTCACTTTGCTGAGGTGGCATCTGCCCTCAGCCGCCCCATGCTCCCTGCCCCAAAGGTCCACTCCCACTGTCTCTCCAGGCTGCAGAGTTGCTTCTCTCCCTCAGTGTGTGAGGTGTAAATTGAAACAGGCGGCTGTTGACAGTGACTGGCTGTTGTCCTGCTTTTGTTCTGTGCATTTGTACCCACTGAAACCCAGAGCATGCTTCTGCACCACGCTCATGTTGCTCACCTAGCCACCCCTCCTACTTTTCTCATCTTCTCCTGGTATGGTTAGTACTCTGTAGACAACCAAACTCTTGTGTTTTCTTTGCTTGCAGGACTATGACCTCTGCATTAACTGCTACAACACTAAGAGTCATGACCACAAGATGGTTAAGTGGGGCCTGGGTCTGGATGATGAGAGCAACAGCCAAGGAGAGCAGCAGTCAAAGAGCCCCCAGGAGTCACGACGACTGAGCATCCAGCGCTGCATTCAGTCCCTTGTCCATGCCTGCCAGTGCCGCAATGCAAACTGCTCATTGCCATCCTGCCAGAAGATGAAACGGGTTGTCCAGCACACCAAGGGCTGCAAGCGCAAGACCAATGGTGGCTGTCCAGTATGCAAACAGCTCATAGCTCTTTGCTGCTACCATGCCAAACACTGCCAAGAGAACAAATGCCCTGTGCCATTCTGTCTCAATATCAAACACAAGCTTCGGCAGCAGCAGATCCAGCATCGCCTGCAGCAGGCTCAGCTCATGCGCAGAAGGATGGCTACCATGAACACCCGAAACGTGCCTCAGCAAAGTTTGCCTTCTCCTACCTCAGCAACACCTGGTACCCCTACACAGCAGCCAAGTACACCGCAAACACCGCAGCCTCCTCCCCAGCCCCAGCCTTCCCCTGTAAGTATGTCACCGGCTGGCTTTCCCAGTGTATCGAGAACTCAGCCCCCTACTACTGTTTCAACAGGAAAACCTGCAAACCCAGTATCTGCACCTCCACCTCCGGCTCAGCCTCCACCAGCCGCAGTAGAAGCAGCTCGACAGATTGAGAGAGAAGCTGCCCAGCAGCAGCAGCAGCTCTACAGGGTCAACAACATTAACAATGGTTTGCCTCCTGGTCGCCCAGGGCTAGTAAATCCGACAGTGGGTTCAGTGAACCAGATGCAGCAAGTCAGCATGAATGTACCCCGGCCCAACCCTGTAAGTGGTCCAGTGATGCCCAACATGCAGCCTGGGCAGTGGCAGTCGCCTCCAATGCCACAGCAGCAACCAATGCAGCCAGGAATGGCAAGGCCCGTTATGCCAATGGCAACACCACAGGCAGTGGCTGGGCCGCGGATGCCGGGTGTGCAGCAGCCGCCTCGGAGCATCCCCCCAAATGCACTTCAGGACTTACTGAGGACCTTGAAATCACCAAGTTCTCCACAGCAGCAACAGCAGGTTCTTAATATCCTTAAGTCCAACCCTCAGCTTATGGCAGCTTTTATAAAGCAAAGAACAGCCAAGTACGTGGCAAACCAGCCTGGGATGCAGCCACAAGCAGGCATACAGCCCCAGCCTGGGATGCAGCAGCCGCAGACCGGCATGCAGCAGCCAGGCATGCACGCGCAAGCAGGATTGCAGAACATGAACGCGATGCAAGCAGGAGTGCAGAGACCGAGTGTTCCTCCCCAGCAGCAAGGGATAGGAGCCATGAATCCCCAGGGGCAAGCAATCAACATTATGAACCCTGGCCACAACCCGAGCATGGCAAACATGAGTCCGCAGTACAGAGAGATCCTGAGGCGGCAGTTACTGCAGCAGCAGCAAAAGCAGCAGCAACAACAAGGGGGGGACGGGACGGAGTGCAGCCCAAAACCCGGTCCCGCCAGCCTCAAGGACCAGGAGTTTCCCCTCAAGCCATGCAGCAGCAGCGGATGCAGCAGCATATATCGATACAGGGGGGTTCCATGGGACAGATGGCTCAGATGGGGCAGCTGAACCAGATGGGCCAGCCCGGCATGGGGGCCGACGGCACACCCAACATCCAGCAAGCACTGCAGCAGCGGATCCTGCAACAGCAGCAGATGAAGCAGCAGATAGGGTCCCCCGGGCAGCCTAACCCCATGAGCCCGCAGCAGCACATGCTCTCAGGACAACCGCAGGCGTCTCATCTCCCTGGCCAGCAGATCGCCACCTCCCTCAGCAACCAGGTGCGGTCCCCAGCACCCGTTCAGTCTCCCCGTCCCCAGTCCCAGCCACCACATTCCAGCCCATCACCCAGGATACAGCCCCAACCGTCACCTCACCACGTCTCTCCCCAGACTGGTTCCCCCCACCCAGGACTCGCAGTTACTATGGCTAGCTCCATGGATCAGGGACACTTGGGCAACCCAGAACAGAGTGCAATGCTTCCACAACTAAACACCCCGAACAGGAGTGCGTTGTCTAACGAATTGTCTCTGGTCGGTGACACCACTGGGGACACACTAGAAAAATTTGTGGAGGGTTTGTAGCATTATGGGAGCATCACTTTTTTGTTTCGTTTTTTGTTTTTCCTTTCGTGTTCTTGGACATTTTGTACTGAAAATTCAGACATCTGGGTTGTTTTGAATCCTGGATGGAACTGCTGCTTCCTACACATGGAAGAATGAATTGCTGTTTAAAAAAAAAAAAAAAAAAGAAAAAAACAATACAAAGAATATATTTTTTTGTTAAAGCCAGGCGGTTAAAATATCTGGTCTCTTTTGTGGGTTTTTTTGGTTTTTATTTTTTTGTTGCTGTTGACTCATACCTTTTTTTTAATGGGGAAAACAAGTTCATTATATTCATATTTTTTATTTGTATTTTCAAGACTTTAAACATTTGCGTTTAAAAGAAGAAAAAAAATAATATTCAGAAACTGTTTCCTGAAATAATGCAACATTATAATGTATCCCGGTAACTTTGACACGTTGTGGGAAGATTTTTGTTTTTCTATAGCGAACTCTGCAGGCATTTGAAGTATTACCCCTGGGAAGATAGGAATGGACTCTTGCACACAAAACCACACATTGGCCAATGCCAAAATCCTTGTCTTGCAGATGTAGAAATTGTTGCTTTGTTTCTCTGATAAAACTGGTTTTAGATGAAAATAGGGATGATCACTCTTAGACCGTGCTGATTTGAATAGAGAAGAAGCATTCTTTTCTTTCTTTCTTCTGTGTGAAACTTGAAATGAGGAAAAGCAATTCTAGTGTAAATCATGCAAGCGCTATAATTACTATAAACAAGAAAATCCAAGAAGATTCAATCACTGTATAGAATGGTAAAAAAAAAAAGAAAAAAAAAAAAACCACGACAAAAAAACTCATTTCTTACTTATAATATCATATTGTTAAATAAACTGTGTGCAACAGACAAAAAGGGTGGTCCTTCTTGAGTTCATGTACATGGTATTAACACTTAGTGTTTGGGTTTTTTGTTATGAAAATGCTGTTTTCAACATTGTATTTGGACTATGCATGTCTTTTTTCCATTGTATATAAAGTATTGCTTAAAATTGATATAAATTACTGAAGTTTTTAACATGTATTCTGTTCTTTAAAATCCATGTAAGAATGTTTAAGGTTTTTATTTATTTATATATTTTTTGGATCATGTTCTTTGTAAGACATAGCTATGAATATTCACTCATTACACAGAGCAGCCAGAGGCAGCGGTAGGAGTGGCGCGATCCATGGAGTATTGTAGGTAGCATGTCTGTTTTACAACACCCTTTAGTGATTGTTTCCTTTTTGGGGAGGGAGAGGAGCGGGGAATGGTTCCCATCCATTGACTATTTGCAGGTGTTCATCCATAAGGGTTAACTGGAATAAATTATTAATAGCCGTTGCTTTTTAAAAACTGCATTAATTTAGAGAAGGATCACCAATGAAAGGAAAATAGAGAGTATTGAGTTAATTCTAGGCTAATTTATTTAGTCTACAGTAAAATATGAACCTATTGACTTTAACACTATTTTTCTGCTGTTAACTCTGAGTCTAGATTTGAGGGTTTTCTGTGGAATAAAAAATAACAAATCATGTACATGTTCCCTTTAATATCCTGTCACCATGCCCTCATGTCCCTGGGATACTTGCCCCTCCTCCCCGGCAGCGAATTGCTTTCTGGGAGTTAAAAGCTCCCGGGAAATTTTCCCAGTTGTAGGTGTGAGCTAAAAACCATGGCTGGTCTCAACCACCACCCCTCAGCCCGTGAGGTTACATGCGCCTGGCACAGGATCTGCAGCAGACCCAGCAAGGTATCCTGCTGCAGTGGGAGCACTGGGCACTCCTGGCTTCCTCCAGCCTTAATGTTTTTGTTGGCAGTGTTGGAGCAGGATGGGGGGAGAAGAGCAGAACGATTTCTCTCAACTCTCATCCCCATCCTGTGCAAAGAGCAGCGTGCTGTGGCGTTGCTTCATTCTTTCTAAATGTAGAGGGTCTCCGCTTAAACTTTACTGGCAAACTTTTCACTGTTGTATCTTTTTCACCACCATTGGATTCATCTGCCCACGCCATTGTCTACAGCAATTCAAGATGTCAAAATTTGGGGCTGGGGTGAGGTCAGTGAACATTAACCCAAAGCTTGTCCGAAAGAAAGTGCTGTAAAAAGAACAAAAAAAAAAAGATGGAAAGCCCTGATGCTGTGTCTCATGCTGTGTACTTAAAAAAGAGGAAAAATACTATATTTGTGATCAAAAAGAGGAAACTTGAAATGTGCTGGTGTTTCTAATAAAAGCTGGTAAAACTGCTTGGATTGGAGGATGGTTCCACTTGGCTGGTGCCCACTAGGATCAGCGATGCCTGAAGGCCAAGGTTAAGATAATGGCACTCGGTCTCACTAATACCTTTAAGTAGTATCCATTCTAAAAGCATCTGCACCGCGTCGGATTTGGATAAACCAAGCCCTGGCTGGAGCACAAAGAGGCGGTGTGGCTGTCAAGGGTTCCTGTTACTGATGGAAAGCAAATGCCAGAATACTTTCAAGTACCACCTGAAGTATGTTGAGAGCACAGAGCAAGGGATGGATGTAGGTCTGATAATCCCAGCTTCCTGGAGCACTTGTTTTGGGTAAGAGCAGGTTTTTTACCAGGGAGAGAAGTGAAATGCAAAGTCAAATGGCAGGAGGGGCTGGGTTTTTTGTGCAGCCACAACAGAGTCTGGGGCTTCACTCCAGCCTCCTTTGAGCATTGATAGATTAAGCATATCCAAAGACTGGTTGGACATCTGATGTGTTTTGATGGGGGAGGTACTGGCAATAAGGAGCAGAATCCTGGAAGCATACCACCACAGTGGAGAGTGGTGCAGGATCTTTGTCACTGGAGGGGGTGGCCAAGACCTTCCCTCTTATTGAATTCTGCAGGGGAACAAGGCTAAACCTGAATGCTGAGCTGCAACAGTGTGGTCCTCTGCTCTTTTCTTTGGATGTCCACCAGCACTGCCACCACAGCAGGCTGGGAGTGTGTTTCATCTCGCCACAGACACGCCGCTAAGGCTCACGATGTTGGTTACTTGTTGCTGTCCCATCAGGCCAGAGATCTGCCTGCAGCACTGGTGTAACTGCTCCCTGCTCTGGTCTTCCGCCTGGATGCGTTAGAGCGAAGGGGTGAGCTCTGGCTGCCGTTGTAGGCTGAGGAAGAGGAGCCCTCCTGTCGGGGTACAGCAGGTGCCGAACACCACATACGTCACTGTGTCAGGAGCCAGAAGCAGTGTCTCTGCAGCCATAGTGCGTAATGTTTCTTCAAGTCCATGGCCGCCTATGGCAGTAAGTGAAGTTAATGGTGTACAAGCTGACCTGGGTGTGCACCAGGTGCTTCATCCAAAGCAAATTACTGCCCAGGGTTTTCTCAGGGCAGTGAAGATCAGGCAGCCACCATGGAGTTGGGAGCTGGGGGAGCACTGCAGAGCAGAGAGGCTGCTGTGTGGGAGCAGTCTGTCCTTCCTGCATCACCATTAAAATGGGGAGCAGGGTGCCCCCCCCCCCAGCAGGCTGCCAGGGTAGTGACTGATGCCAGTCAGTGCCAACCACCAGATAGATGATGGAAGCAAGTCTGGGCTAGAGGGGAGGATCTGTACTAGACCCCACACAATCCCCAAGCCTTCCCTCCAGCACCACACTTCGCAGCTGAATGGTCAGACCCATGGTAAGGCAGGAGGAGGATTCAGGTGTTTCACAGCAGGTGCAAGAGCTGTAGAGCGTGGTGGCAGAGCAATGCTCCGGAGTGCTGTGGGGTCAGATGGAGGTAGCAATTACAGCAACAGTAGCAGGGAAGTGTTTGAAATGGGCTCAGAAGTCGGTTTGGTTTT